TCAACTAAAGGGCTAATGATAACTATCAAAACGCCTGCCATTTGTTATAAATTAATGTTTTACCAAGGGCTGTTTAAAGTGGATGTCCATTAACTTGAGAGTAAAATATCAATAAGGTAAGCATAAACTCTAATTTGTCTTACTATTTGTTTAAATTTGAGCCAAGATTTGGGGATTTTGTTTCCTTTGAAATAAATATGATGTTGATATGATATCAGAGACTATTTATCAGATAGCGATTGGATAGTATGTTTCAACTTTAGGGTCTGGGATTGTGCAATGGAAAATTTCACTATGATTGACTCTCTTCAAAAATTTCTCAGACAAATTTCATGATTTATTTATTTATTTACTAAGTAGTTACATTTATATTTCTACGTAATCTCCGTTTTTATCTATACACTGCTGTAATCTATTATTCCCACCTGTAAATTACCCCATGGTAGAATTTCGACGACTGTCTCTGGCACCATGAAATCACGTGTTTTTTAGCATCATCTAAAGACGTCGCTCGGGTGTCTTTAAGGGGTTCTCGCAGTTTTGAAAAAAAGTTGAAGGAATCTTGGTCTGGACTACAAGGCTGATGTGGAATTGTTTCCAATTAAGCCAAGGCTTTCAGTGAAAATTGAAAATGCTGAAAGGTGTACGATTCCTACTTGATTGGCAATTTCTCCACTTTGTTCCTGCTCTAAGTTCTGTACCAGAGAGACGTTTTCTAAATTTCTTGCTGTGGTCAGTCTCCCCCCCCCCCCCCACCCACCCTCGTGGGTCATCATCGAATTGTACCCTTCCCGCTTGAAAGCGTTTAACCCCTTCATAAGCCTGTTGTAAGGCTTCTATGATCTGAAAGTGTTTCCAATTAAGTTTAGTTAACAACGCTGTGTTAGCTCTGGTCACAAAATTTGCCATTTGAAGGGTTGAAATTCGAGATGCAACCTGCCTTGATCCTGACCTTACATAAAATGATCGGCCATCCAAAGGCACGTATTATGGGAGCTCTGAAGACGCGTTTGAACCTGTAGGTTATGGCATTTGTCTGAGAACTTTTTGTCTCCTCCCCGTATATTTGTCACTTTTTCATTGTCATGTGCGTGCTCGAAAGAACACAAGAGGCCACATAGATTGAGAACACATGTTACCGTGAACTTACAAAAAAAGGGCTCAACGTTTATAATCAGGCGGGGGCAATCCGCATCCCTTCAATAGTCTACCCGGGACCTATTTTGCTTAATTCATTCACAGATGCTTGCTGTTATTCACACCTAGGGCATTAGTCAAGACAAAGCCACCGTCTATCCAGGAAGTCAGTGGGGCATTTCTGTATGATCAGATTGTATTTAATACCTCTGAACTTAAATTAAATTTGTAATTTACACCTATTGGAATGTCTATTTAAAGGTGCTCAAGGAGAAATGTTCTAATTTGGTAAGAAATTCTCGTCTTAACTGTAGAGATTAGTGCTGCTAGTATTTGACGCTCCCATAGTTTTATTTTCTCTGTGTCTTTTGAAGATATGAACTTTTTACATTGATAGTGTAGTTTGTTCGTTTTTTTTAATTTTATCCTTTTCACTTGTTTCACAAGCCTCTGTTTTTATTAGTGTGCAATAGTTTTCCTGCCTGTTTGTTGCTGATCACATCATCAGATTGAGTATTGACGAGGGGAAAAATGGCGTCTATTACAGTTTCTTACTGCCAATTTTGCTCTTCTCCTCTCTAGTATCATTCTCCCGTCCAATGGCCGGCCATTCGTCCAGGTTTTAGCTCGGACAAGGACATGAATATCTCCTCCCCAAAACTTGTTCGCTCGGGCAGCCATGAAACTACTCAAGGTACTTGATGTATATTGATCATTAAATTCACATTTCCTTAATATGCTTATTTAAAAATCTGTACCTTTGTTGCCTTTAATGCTTCATTTTTTGCTTTATATTTGATGCCAGTAAGTAGTGTGTTGTTTTTTTTTCTAGCTGAATCATCCTCAGGTTTCATAGTTCCGATGACTACTGGTCATCGATGTCGCCATACTTCCTTAAATATTCGTGTTTTGGGTGACACCACAACCACGATTACTACAGCTGATCGATCAAGCTCTAATGAGGGTGCAATTCTTCAACGCCATTCGGGTGTGCGTTGCAAGGTCTCTTATTTGGGTGTTTTACCATCCCACCAAATGGAATTGCACCACTCCCTCAAAAGCGTGCATCAAGCCCTCTGCACCTGTATGCCTCGTATCATCAACTCGGCTATTCTCAGTTGTCATAAGAACTTACTGTGGTATCGTCTATTCGACTCACAGTACTTCCCCTCAACTCAACCCTCTGACTACCAGGAAGGCGTGGAGGAAATTGGCCAAGAAGCTGTCTCTCTTCTTGGTTCTGAGGTTATTCACCGAGGTCTTTCTTGTGATGAATTCGAAGACTTGATTAATTCCGCTCCACTGAAGCTAGATCTTCTAAGGATGGATCCAAGATTGGTTGAATTGTTGAAGATAAGTGGGAAACATTTGGTTACCTCGGTGGTGAATCACCTGAATGATAGTAGAGGGAAAACTGTGGGGTTTGTCTTCTCCAAAACATCGGATGTATGGACACACCTAGTGGTTATCGATCCGACATTCCGAGAGGGTCTGATTCAAATTTCGTGGAGAGGGGGGAGTAATGGTGTGGATACATCTCAGGCATTGACCCCCCTTCAACCAACAGAAGTGAGAAATATTCAGTTGCCCTCGGTTAAGTCGAGGCTCTCCTCAATGCTTCGAAATATTCTTTCGAGTGTAAATCGAACTGTTGAAGGGATCCCGATGGATGAACTACCGGAGGAATTTGAAGAGTCTTGGGATTCACATGTAAGTAGATTCGATTTTTATGTTCAGTCTGTTTCTTCAAACCAGTTCGTTAATTTTTTTGATTTAGGGCTTCAGGTTTGGAGGTTTGGAAAGAGATTGATTTATGCGAGTTGAGATTCCTTTTAAAACCGTATATCATTCAAAAGTTGTGTTGTGGTTGCCCCATTTGTTTCCAGGGTGCTCCAATTTAATAGGTTTTAAACTCTCTCTAATTGCTTGAATTTATCCTTACCTATTCGTTATTATTACTTCATTTGGGCCACCTAATGCTAGCTTTGATTTTAATTTGACTTCATAGGGTTCGAGGTTTAATTTATTTCCCACTCAGATTGGATTTAAGAAACTAGGCTGGTAATTTGCTGTCTTTGTATTTATTAAATTCATAATTATACAACCTCGGTATCAGGTCATATGACATTGTTGCACGTGGGAAGATGGTTTCTACATGGAGCAGTGATCTCATCAATAGCGCAAAGGCTTCCCTTTCCATTACGCGAACATTCACCTCGAGACTATTATTACAATCTCTAGGTTATCCTGATTTCTCCGCAACATGGTCGATTTAATTCTCCGTCTAACATTTATTTATTTATATCAAATGGCAGGCGTTTTGATAGTTATCACTAGCCCTTTAGCTAACTTCGGGCTTCATAGAGGGGAAGGAACGTCAAAGTGAAAAAAATCGAGAGGGGGGGGGACAGAAGAGTGTTTCAAAGATGTAAAAGAGGCAGACATAAAGGCAGAGAAAAGGTAAGATGAGTACTGTGAAAGGGGTCGAATATGACCTACAGTGGGGTGATGGTAGTTTGAAGTGAGAAGTCAACTGCCGGTTAATAGACCTTTTTTGCCGTGTGAGTATACGTTGCCCAGGGTGCACCACGTGGAGGTAAGTCTATCCCTAACCCTAATGAAAGAATAATGCCATGCCATGTCTGACTTATTCTGTCTGCTTTGGAGTTGGACATTTTTCCCCATAACAATAAAATAGACAACTTACACAGTCGTTTCCTTTGTGTTCCCGTGTCTGGACATAAACCGAATTAAAACACATATCTATAAAATGAGCACCTTTGTCCTTTTCACATTTGGGATAATTGAGGAGTTTATTTCACTTCATAAATTATCCAAACGATTTGGAGGGGGGGGGGGAAGAGGAGGGCTACAGTGTGACTTGTTTTTTCCAAATTTACATTCTTGAAATCCCCCTTCTCGTTTATTCTGCGCGTGTTTCACCATTCAGCTCTAGTTTGTTGGCTATCAGGAGAAAGCTCGCTTCGTAAACGTCCCCTGTCGATGTAACTTCAGTGTATGCTAAAGTTTACATGACGCTACTTTTCTCTATCCCACTCCACAACTGTTTCCTGTTTGATGGAAATCTGACTTCACTAGAACACCTCGTCTTCTTGGCTTAACTTCCATCCTATTACCTCTCCTTTTAAATAGATTTACTTAGATTTACCTTTTTTCATTCTCCAGGAATTTACAATGATGGCTGTGTTTAGAAGCACGGGGAGTATGGAGGCTTCAATGCGAAACTTCTCGAATCCCTCGACAACACCCCTTCCATCATCAAATGTGCCCCCTCCGCTTTCGAATTTGTCAATCGCCTCCAACATCTACCGAACGCACTTGATGCCAGCTCTGAAACTTCTCATTGAAATTCTAACACTTCATGTGTGGAATGATCTTCATTAACGCCTTTTGTGATTCTTTCCTATTTTTGTATCAACCGAATATGCTTTCAAAATATGTACTTCCTTTTTTTCAATTGTATTACTTTTAAAGTGGAATGCTTCTTCTTCGCATTTGTTGTTTTTTATGTGCTTAGTTGCAAGATTTCGTACATAGGCATAGTAGGTTCGTTTTGGAAGACCTGAGCGTATGATAAACAAGTCCAAGGAAGTTGCTTTAACCTGGCTCTTTTGAAGAGAGCTTACTTTTAAGATTATTTTCCAGTTTACCTCAGCTTGTCCATACTTGCTATATTCTAACTACGAATTATCGTATACTAATTGATTTATCGATTTCCTCATCAGTTTTCTAACATACTGGACCTCATCCTATGTATTTGCTTCATGAGCCTTAATGAGGCCCTGATAAGAGAATAGTTTGACACGGATAAAGCGGTGGTCCATGAAAAAATCATAGAACCCCTTTTCAACAATGGTCAATGCTTGTATTCCAATACATGGAATAACCTTAAGCATTCAGTAATCGTCCTACAACAGCTTTTAACCTCTCATATCACTAACCGAGATTTAAGTTAGTCAGCAGGACTTTCGGGTAGACTTGGCCCCTGCCAACTACTTTTGTTCTTCTATTAAAAAGAGGCATCAGTAAACCCTGCACCTTATCAAGTTCCTATTATGCACAAGTTAGTTGGTAGTAAGGAGTCACAACCAGCCTTCGAATCAACTCTATCGACCGTCTAGCTTAGACTGCGGAAGATAAGGTTCAAATGCGTCCGATAGAGACAGAATTGCACCTTCCAAGAAACCAATAGACAACATGAACAATCCTGTGTCCAGACTTAATAAAGCACTTTAGATGATAAACGAAACCCTTTACTTTCTTCCCTCTACTATGCAACGCAGCGAAGCCAAATACAACACCATTTCGGATTCGGGATATAGAAATAGCAAATTTATTTAATCACAAAAATTACACATAAATTGTAGCCAACCAGTAGTATTTACACAGACATACTGCCCTTAGCGATCATGCGATCGAGAGCTTTTCTGCTTGTGCTTTCTTTCGCGACTGTCATCCCTATGACGTCTACTGCCGTCACTACTACCACCACCATTGGACGATTTATGATGTCTATCGCGTCTGTGGCTACGAGATCGACTACGTGAACGACTATGACGATGTCTGCGTTCTCGATCCCTATCTCGACTCCGATCACGTTCCCTGTCTCTTTTAGAACTTCTCCTAGATTCAGTATCCTCCCGTTGTTTTCTAATTAAGTCATTCTCTTCCACGTACTTTCTTAGTCTCTCAAGGTGCTCCCTAATGGCAATAAATCCCAAATGAAGCTTGCCGCCAAAATGATCAGCAAGACGTCTGTCATTGTCATGAACACCGAGATAAGCTGAGCAAACATCGCAGACACGAAGCTTTTGTTGCTGATAGGTACTCACTGGGATGGCATTTCGAAGATCGGCTTCGTGCTTGGCCTTCTCGCTGTTTAACTCCTCAACACGGTTCATTAGCTCAAGGGATTCTTCTACAAGGCCCTCATTGCCTTTTTTCTCCGCTTTCGCTAAAGTGACACCAATTTCCTCACTAAGTTTATTGATTTTTTCGACTTGAAGAGCTGCCTCTTCTGTCAACTCCTCTTGGGTTTCTTTTAGTTTCGCCTTTGCCTGTTCTGTTCGTCGGTTGGCATCATTTACAAAGTTTTCCAAATGCCTTAAAGCCTAACAAAGTCAATTTTTCTTAGAGTTCTTACATCAATTTCGTAGTAATATTGCCTCTTCTGAGCCGCCAGGCGATAGTCCGATTTGAGGCCAGCCTCGTGAATATTGAGACATTCACCTATGTCCATCCTCTACAAGAATCAGGGAATAAAAATAAAAGAATAAACGTACTGTCCCAGCGAGAATCTCATGTGGGCAGCATTCGAGAAGGAAACTCCTGCAAACCCGAGGATCGTCGAACTCAATGTGCTTTTTGCCTCCTGTTGTATTCAAAAAAATTTAAAAAAAACAAAACTTTCGTTTATACCCTAGGCGTTATTTACTTACATGACTTGGAAGTCAACCGATTAACAACTTTCATGGCATCACCTTAAAAGTAAGAGAGACTGTGTGAAGCGAATTCTACGCTTTTAACTAATGTACCCCCTATCATGAACCTAGATGAACTCATCATATGAAAGGAAAAACGGATACTAAAATATGCAACACAGTGCCTCCTTACCATCCCTAGTGGCACCCAGAAGCTCATCCAGAAGATTGCGAGCCTGATCGGCAGCAGACATCGTCCAAGGAACAAGTAATGAAAAGTGCAAATAAAAACTTAACTATTTAAAACAAACCATTAAAAAGGTCTACCAATTACTACTCTTATTTTTCGCAACCAATTATAATTGTAGTTTTTATGAATAATATTATTATAATCTAACTTTTTGATTCATAAACTCTTTGGAAATTAGGGCTTGATTCACCACAAAACAGATAATCATTTGGAAGTTAAGGGCAAAATTTTGAAAGCATACTATTTAAGGAATTATTATAAATATCGTATGATTTCAAAGAGTTATTCTGTCTTCAGTTAACTCTTAATACACTTTGGTATACAGCTCTGCTTATTAAAAAAGAATTTATTCTAATGCTAATTGTCAACAATTTGCTATTGTTGCAAAAGCAGTTAAGAATGATAATAATGGGTCCTAATGTCTTGCCCGTCTAATTATTTTGCAAAGATATGTGGATTCGGCATTCGAATGGAAATAACTAGCATTCATACGAGTATCCGTCAGAATTTCGAAACTGCCGTGGAAATTGGCAGTCAAATGACAAATCGTTTGGCTGTGTTACATTACTTATTTCTGGCATTTATGAAAGTAATACGAATCTTTCCTCCTAATGCAAAAATTTTTCTCGGCGTGTCAATACCCCATACCAGTGTCTAAAATTCATTATGCCTAAAATCCATTGCAATACTTTTTCACGCTCTGTTCAGTAACAAAAATATTTACAACAACCATAACAAACGGTAAAAATTGACAATAAAAGAATCGGATAAGTTTTACAAGAGAAGAAATATTAGATAATTAATGGTTACAATTTTCGGTAAGATCAATACATTTCATTGCGCGTATATGAGACTTACAGTATTCACGCAATATTCAGCGACGAATAACTATTTAACTATTTAATAAGCCTATTTATTCTCTTCTTTTTCATAAGCATGAACTGTTTGTTAACTGAAGTAGGCTATAACTTTATCCCCAATTGCGCAAGCCGCAACTTAGGAACTAAAAACCAACTTTCCCAACGCTTATAACAGATAACCAATTTGTATTTTTTTCACCAGCAACTTTTACCAAACAAAAAATTCAAGAAATAATTTTAGTCAATCGATCCTCCAACTTAGAACATTATTATTGTATTTACCAAAAGTAAGTCTAAATAATTATACGAGATTAAATTTTCAAAATTAACAACTATAATGATGCTATATATCTTGCAATTTCAAAATTATTGATTAATTATTTATATCAATAACGTAACTTGCATTGTTTAGATCAATGCTTTCCAACGTTTCCGTTTCAACATTTCGATCTATTTTTAAACTAGAAAATAAAGTTGCTATAATAAGGGTATTATTCTGCATCCAATACTTGCTACCTTAGAACCATCCATTTGTATTAATTATAATACTGTCTATATTTTTTCTATGTCATGAAAGAGGATGTCAAGTAACTCATTGACAGAAGTATAACAAATAATTACACAATTTTTAAACTAAGGATAATTGACATAAAAATTATTAACCGCGATTAACCTTCTAGTCAATTTTGTGTCAGGTGACACGTTCTCCGCTACTTAATGAAAAGAATTTCAACAAAATTAAACGTTTAATATTTAACTAAACAGTTCAACATTAACCGCAGAAAATCTTTTTTTATTATTAAGAATTGGAACAAATTAATGCCAAAGCAAAACTTAATTTCTCATCAATTTTTGCAATTTTAATTAAGCAATCTTGGATAAAAGAATTATTAGGACAAAGTTTATTAAACAAAATTAAGCAGTTTCAAATTGTCTAAGTATTTTTAATATGTTTCATGGTATTATAATTATAATATTTTGTTTGTTTTGCCTTTTTTGGCACTTTGGCGCGCTTTCCCTAGTTCCAAGTCAGGCACGTTTGGTTCTTTCGTTATTTGATTTCTCATTTATTAGATAAAGATGACTAATACCAAGGGCTATCGTCGTGGTACGAGGTACATGTTTGCTAGAAAATTTAGGAAGCATGGACCCCTCTCCACCTATGTATATATGCGCGTTTTTAAGCGCGGCGATATCGTTGACATTGTTGGTGATGGTGGTGTCCAAAAAGGTATGCCCCACAAGAGCTATCATGGCAAAACTGGACGTGTGTTTAACGTAACTAAGCACGCCGTTGGTGTTATTGTCAATAAACGTGTGGGGTAGGTCAATATTTTTTTTTTAATTTTCATTTATCAGCAACCGCATCATTCCCAAGCGAATTAATGTTCGCGTTGAACACGTTCGTCCATCCAAGTGCCGTGTTGAGTTTCTCAATCGCGTAAAGGAGAATGATGAAAAGCGTAAGCTGGCTAAAGCCGAGGGTAAACAATACAAGCTTAAGCGCGAACCCGTTGGACCTCGTCCTGCTCATTTAGTTCGTACCCGTAACAATCCAGTTGTGACCCTCCAGCCTCTACCATACGAGTTGATTGCATAAATATATGTATAATTTTTGGATTATACTTAAGTTGCTGTTTTTTCCTTACTAACGATTAAAGTTATAACACTGGTGCCATGTAATATTTGTGGTATTCTCGTCGATCTGATAAGCATCATCTGCTATTGCTTTATCTATTTATCCGATGAGTGCATCCTTTTGGATTTGGTCGATAGTCTTGTGCTCTCATGCGTACTCTTATGTCATTCCTAGCTTTACATATTCCAGACATGTGAGTTTTTTGTTTTAGGGTAATGCGTAGTAATTGGCTTACTTGAAATTATTTGGGATTGTCCTTTTTTGAAGTAATTAGTTTGGGTTTTTTGGCTCAATTTCCAATGTATTATTATTAATTTTGATGCATTTATTTCTTAACATTCTTCTATCCGAGAGCTGAATGGTACGCTCTACCCTTGATCTCTAAGTAGCGTATATTTTCTACAACCAATATTCCATCGAATAATGACGAGACCTCTTATGGGTTCATTTTTCCAGTTGAATGGGATTTCTATGGTTGACTGTATCAAACTTGGGGCTTACTATTTTTAGCGTCGTATTGGTAGCTACTGGTCTCAATTGAATCATCATCTTTGGTCTTAGAAGAGTTGTTGAATTAATTGGGCGGTCTATTAATTGATTTTTTCGCATGCGGTGGGCGTGTGTGATAGACTTACCTCCACGTGGTGCTCCCTGGGCAACGTATACTCATACGGCAAAAAAGTGTTACTTGGCAGTTGACTTCAAACTACCATGACCCCACTGTATGTCATATTCGACTACTTTCACAGTATTCATCCCACCTTTTTCTACCTTATCTACCTTCGTCTTTGATACTCTCTTCTGTTCCCCCCCCCCCTCTTGAATTTTCTACACTTTTATGTTCCTTCCCCTCTGCAAGAAATGATAACAATCAAAACGCCTGCCATTTGATATAATAATTCGCATGCGGTGGTGCGTTGGAGAGCTTGCCCTTGTGCAGATGGAATGTTGACTGTGTTTGCTAATCGACAAGATGGGTTGGGGGAATACTATTTTGCAAGGTTGATATTGTCAATTCTTCCCTATGTAGCGATTAACGTAAGCTGGCTGTGACATCATTACATGCATTCAAAAGCTTTGTATAATAGGTAGTTGTCAAATTAGTACGGTTTTTTGTTTCATTTGTCATCTCAGGAGATGGATATCGTAAGTGCTTGTTTCTCTCCTTTGAAGGTATTGCTCTTTGGATCGTACCTGCACACCAAATTAAATTAGTATATGGAATTGGAGGGAAAATTTTTGATGGCCTTGCAGAAGTATTAAGAAGTCAAAGCGGCTTCCCATTAGTAGTTTAGTTAGCTATGACGATGCTGATTTGGGTCCATTATGCATAAACTGTTAGAAATTTTTAGACCCGGAATTTCCTGGTAGGTCATAAGTGGATTTGAAATTCCCTTGGAGACAATACGGCCCATGGGTCTGCTATCGACCTTTCGTTGACGGTTTTGGTTGCATTTTCAATCCGTTTGAGTTGCAGCCCAAGCTTGATTTATCATCACCAGTACCCTTAAGTCCTTGGGAGTGTTCACCAATAACGAAATAGATTCGTACCCATGTTGATAGTTGTGTTATCAGTGTTTAAGGTTTCTGTCGTTTGGGAATCTGCACAGGAATAGGTTTGATTCTTCATGCCAATTATGAGTCTTTAGTGATTCAAATAAGCTTTGGAAATGCGATCTGACCAGCTCGATTCACAACGTTTCACTGTATTCTAGTTCTTTTCCTCCCAGTATGCTACAAGATAGCCATCTTGAGGTAAATATAAAATGTGGTCGATTTCTCCATGTCAACACATTTTGGAGAGGTGGCGGAAGTATCGTACTTCCTGACTGGTTAGTTCGTTGGTGCCAAATAGAATCTCAAGTAGGAGGGAGGGGGGGGGGCAACCTGAGGCTTACCTTCCCAGTAAACTAGAAGTTTGAGTGCTCAAGATAGGAACAAAAGGTATGCGGTAGATAGATTGGCTACTAATGTCAATAGCACTGGTTGTAGAATTTGTAAAATTACTTAAGCTTCACCTTGATAGCTATGCAAAACTGAAAGAAGAAATTCAATGAAGTAAGGGAATAAATCTGGACAAATTAGTCAAACCTTATTTTAGTGGAACGTAGGGCATTGAAATTGTGGTAATATTAGTCCAGATGGCCACTTCAAAAAGCATTAAGCCATCCGAGCTCCCTGTCGCAAATCATTTGCCAAGGTAACAGTCTGCGCAGGTACACAACGATTGCATGCACACTCCAAGAGTCTGGAAATTGCTATGTGGTCCCAATGGGGAGCAAGTGCGGCCATGAGTGTTAAAGACCTCTCACCCAGCCACAACAAGTACTATTCGCACCATACCCTCTTCTACCTCAATATTATTGAGGTAGCTTAGTTGTTTTCGAGGAAATTTGCCTGACTGCTGAAGTTTAGTGGAGCATCCGCGAAAAGTCGTTCAGCAAATTTCTCGCTTTTACGTGGGGGTGTGCGCTAGACTTACCTCCACGTGGTGCACACGTATACTCATACGTTGCAAAAAGACCTATAAACCGGCAGTTGACTTCGCATTAGTAACTACCATGACCCGACTGCAGATCGTATTCGACCACTTCCACAGTCCTCGCTTTGCCCTTTTTATTTGCCATTGTGTCTGTTTGTCTCCTTTACCATTGTGAATCACATCTTTTCCCGTCTCGACCTTTGTGATTTTGATGTTCCTCCCTCGGTGAAGCCTAAAGTCATAAGGTCGTCCTTTGATGAGCATGAATACTTGATACGTCTTTGTGGAGGTAGGGAAATTTCAATGAAATATATGCAAGCACAATCATTTGGTTTCTTTTTGCTATATTACTGATTTTCTAGCATATTTTGAAGATATTTGATATTCCATGGCCTCTTCTTCTTCTCTCGAAATTAGCACTAATTTTTATGAATTTTTGCACAGTGATGTCTTTTGAGCTAGGGTAATCAACATTGTTCCACCAAATGCTTGTGATATTTAGGCGACAAGATCGATTGTTGCATTGACCTCAGACGAAAATTGTGGAAAGATTTTATTCTGAGCATTTGAAGCAATAATTATCAAATGAATTTCAATTTCTTACTACAAGTATATTATTTCATATAGCATGAATTTTACTATAGTACCTCTTTAATTTAATTGTAGTGAATCTAAGCATACTTATTTATTTACTTATATCAAATGGCAGGCGTTTTGATAGTTAACATTATCTCTTTAGTTTACTTCAAGCTTCACAGAGGGGAAGGTACATCGAATTGAAAAAAGTCGAGATCAAGCTTCACAGAGGGGGAAGGTACATCGAATTGAAAAAAGTCGAGAGGGGGGGGACAGAAGAGTGTTTCAAAGACGAAGGTAGAAAAAATGTAAGGTGAGTACTGTTGAAGGGGTCGAATTTGACATACAGTGGGATCATGGTAGTTTGAAGTCAGAAGTCAACTGCCGATGGTAGAATTTTTTGAGCAGACTGGTGCCGCCGACGTGGGCTATAGACGGATTGAACATGTTTCAAACGGTAATAGAGCCTTCTGTTACGAGTCTGGTACCAATGGAGCCTATGTGGGAAGAGGACCGTACAGTTAGGATAGTCAACGAATTGTCCAATATGTCTCAGCCTGAAAGACGCATGCTCTCACCGTTGCTGGGTTATTTAGAACGCGGAATGTGCGGAAGGGGCAGACTGACGAAGGGCTTATTGAAGACCATGACAACGATTGGCTGCATTATCATTGGTCACTATCGCTCATAGGAAGTTGACCACTGCTCTGGACATTTGCCATTATTAGGATTCATGACCCTGATTTTCCTCTTTCATACACCTTATTGGCCATGCCATTTCACATTCATTCACCTCATCTAAGTGTTCTAATACGGATCAGCTTAGAATACGCTATTTCAAAGCTAATACAATAATCGGACGTGTTTTACATAGAATCATGTATTAATCGGCCACTGCTTTACCAATAATTCGAGTCATGTTGGTATTTAGCATTCTTAACGATGGTCTTATCGAGCAAACGTGAAGACTTCCGATAAAACGGCGAACGTCCTTACTTGATATTGTACCAAATTTAGCGTCCCGTTATAGTTTATCGAGTAAACTGGATGATGCATATGTCTACACCGTTCCGATTGTCGAACCAGGAATTTTACAAATTGTTCTCCCTCTGTGCTGGGACCTTTTCTCCCCTCTCTTTTCACCTCATATTTTAAATGCTCCCAATTCACCACCACAGCCCACTTTCTACTCTCGCTGAACTGATATTTACCCCCAGTCCTACAAATTGATGCCCCCTCCATTTCTCCCTTCCTTCTATATTCGACACATTCGCGAACCGAACCGTTTCTTATCCTTCAGACTTGGAAAAGTCGCCCCCCCCCCTTGGAGGACCATTGACCATCTTCCTCATCTTCGAGAAACTTGTGTTTAAAGTTAAATGCCATAGCTTTAAGGTGGTGTTTAGTTTGAACACCCGCTGGCGACGAATTGCAACGGAATATTAGGAGAATTGAGCTCTTCACTGTAATGCGCAACGCACCCAGAGAGCTTCTGAATTTCAAGCCTTTTCCTTCACTCATTCCCAAAAAGACGACACATGTCTGGTTTTGGGCACAAAACTGGCCATCTCCAAAGCGTTCAAAAATTTCCGACTAAATTCACTCATTCATCAAGGTACTAGGGCACCATAATGCATCAAAATTGGACATGCAGAAGTTCTGTTTCACTCTTCTCGATAGACATTCTACTCTTTTTAATTTAAATATCCTAAGCACGAAACAACGACAACGACATCTGTAGTTTATTTTGCCTATAAGTCATTCACACAGTCCCATACCCACGTTGAAACAAGATTAAAAAATGCAGGCGCACGATTATTTTTGCTTTGGCATATAAATAACAACTCTGCAATTCAGCGAGCATATTCAGGGATGCGTATGCAACTTTTCAATCGGACAGTGAGATCTACACCGCGGGGCTAGCGGAAATTGAGGAAGCTATAAATAAAACAATGTCCACAATAGTTAAGGATTATAAATTCATCAAAAATATATATGCAGAGATATCAAGAAAGTAAAGTTGTTATATAGAGTTCTAGCATAGCCATGGAGCCGCATCACAAATCTGTAAAAGAAGATACACGAAGAAAGTCATTCATCTGCCTCAATCTACAGGCTTAGGGTTCGAACCCACTCGACTGACGTTTGCGGAGAAGAGGAGTAGGAGACCCATGAATATAAAAAAGCATACAGGAAGGACAAGACATAGGGCATTTCGACATTGAAAGGACCATGCCTTTCTGATTTTGAATCGAAGTATTCCATGAAAGAGCCTCTTTAAAGCACGTTGGAAACGCGAGCAAAGGTTCAGTTTACTGGTAATGTAGCCGAAGGTGAAGACCACAACGCCGAAGAAAATGATGAGGTTAGTGGAACCGAAATCTAAGAGATTGGCTTTCTGGCCAATGACAAAAGGGAAATCGTCAACGTATTCATTTAGGAAGACGCGAGGGGGGTTGATATCAGCGTTCAGAGGAAGAGGACACATTCCTGGCCCACCAGTCACTCCCACTCGGACACCACGTCTGAAATTATGAGGTTGCTACTGATAAAAATTTCATTAGTAGTATATATATTTAGATGTGTGTAAACCTAGAATAAGCGCCCTAAACAGCGAACTAAAAAGGAATGTTGCATTAAAAAAAGGAGTCCAATACTATTCTAGTTCTAGCCACATTTGCTTCTTGAAAGCATGGTAATTCTGCACCAAATGATCGTCTACGAAGCTAAGTTTGATAATTCCGAATGAAATCAATTTACCGCAAAAGTCGACAACGCATTTCTTCCAGTCTTGGAGCGAATTCATCAGTATCGGGAGAATTGTGATTCCAAAGTCGTTCAGCAATTGCACAAATAACAGGCCTAAGAGGGGAGAAAATTTAAATCAGTCAAACTACTGTTGATAAATAAGTAGCACAACGAGAGTCAGGCAAATGAACGTACCAAATTCGTTGAATCACAGTCTCATCCGACTGCCATTCATTCCACATGCAGGCTTCACCACCTAGCACATTTTTACTTCTGTTTTTGTTAAATGTATCCCCGAGATCTTGGGCTAAATCCAAAAAAAAATTGGTAGGCGCATTCGGCATGGCGAGCATAAATAAGCCTCCACTAATCTCACTCGAACTTGGGCTTACTTAATGCAATCTATTGAATTACCTCGGTTTTCTACCTTCTCTGCTTAGTACTGTGTTTGATCCATCCCTTGAACTTCAAGGCGCATCTATCTAACTCTGCCACATTGACGCAGAACCCGCTAAACCTTAATCGACGTAGTCTTATTTTTTACCCCTAGAATAAACATTAAATCAACGCCACGTCACCTTTCTATTCTGTGATAGAGTTAGCAAAGTTTGTAAAGGCGGTTGTGAAGATACTTTATTCCTCGCAATATATATTGGTCAATTCCAAGCTGTTAAGAGATGTAAACGTGAATGGTTGAAACAGGTTAGTACTAATTGGATTAGGTACTCTATATGATTTTCAAAATGGAGAACTTCAATTTGATGGCTCTTAATGTCCAATCGTCTGTGTAATCAAGTTTAACTTGTCATTAACCATCATCTAATAATAAGATTTCAATTCAATTTAAAGAGGAGCAAATTTAAGGTACAATTTGGAAATTGTGAGTACATATCATCCGATTCCATTCCTGAAATCAGGATTTCTACAAAAAATCCCATTTGGAGTCAAATAGATTAGAATTGCAGTAGGTATTGGACTTACATTCAGTTGCGCTCCCTAAATTTCCATTCAATTCACATACAGCTGACAGGAGAACACGTGTAAGTGTGCCACCTTTGGGATCACAGAGCGGATAGTTAATGTAAACTGGTGACATTTTTCAACATTAGGCAGTATATTCTGTAAAGAATACGTAGAACTCCACAAGCAGTCAAGGAATATGTTAATTCCCAACTTGAAGTAAGAACCGACCAAGCAAGAAACTCGTATTATACTGCTATTCTTGCTGACTTGGATGTACAGTGCACAGTCAAATACACAGCCCTCAAATACTTGACGTGATAAACTGATGCCCACATATTCCCTCTTTATAGTTCCCATATCTCAGATGATTTATCTTGAAATTTCTGTGGAATTATTTACTTGGAAAGAGGTTGTTCTCGTAATACTTTATCCATTCAGAAGGATAAAAGTATGAATCCAAGTACCAGCCCTTGGAAATAATGGACGGGAATCCCAAATATCCAGGTGACGAAAATAGGTCCTTCCATTGGTGAATCACAGAATTGCTGGGCAGCTAGGCATAGAAAAAACGTCATTTAAAGGAAATACACATTGTACCTTAAGTCCCGATTCAAAAGCCTCCTGCCAGAAGATAAACTTCTTTCCCCCAGTCATGGATGAATTCTTTGCAAGAACTTGGATACTGTTCAACAACCTTACAGTGAAGAGCTTTATTGCATCGAGGGATGTTTGCAATTGATGCTCGGAGAGGTAGTTTTGTATGTGTGGGTTGGTCTCCCTAAAGTTGAGTACAACACACAACACATTCACTCACTCACTCATTCATTCATTAAACATTGAAAGAGGCGAGTGAGTTTAATGGAGGCCATAACTCACAGACAATTGAATTCAACTTCATCAAAGCCCATATGTAGGTAGCTTTCGGGAAAAAGTTCAATAATTTCTTTAAATAATTTCACAAGGAGATCTAGAGTCGCCTCTTTGGTTGGATCAAGACCGCCATAATAAGGCGATTCGGAGTCGGACTCGTAACACTTGACGAAGAGCTCGGGGTGAGAGTAGGCCCATGAACGCGTGTGACCTAAACATTTTGTCATAAAGTTGACACAGAAATGAACAGTGTTATGTGGATTAAAACTTATTGGCACAATTTTTCCCCAAAAAGCGTAATTTTATTCCGCAAACATTAACTTTTTCAGCAAGGTGAAATCTAGAATGAATTTCTGTTGTGGCATTTACAGCATCTAAAGCAATTTTGGTTTGCTCAGTCCTGACGTCACAGGACCAATATGAAGGTGTTCTTGGATTCAGCGAAATGTACAGACATAGAATTGTTCCGTTTATTTAACGATCGTGTCGATGACGAAAAGTATGATGTCGTTTAACGCATCAAACTGAAGTGGCGGCCGGTGTGACTTTGTGATTATCATTTTGGACAACCTCCTTCAGCTTTTGTTGGCCATATTCGTGGAAAATTGTTCCTGTTAATTAGTGGAATAGTCTTGAATTGGAATAATTCTACTTAAGCTCGCCTGTGGAGGTAATAAAAACACTACTGCATAAAAAATTGTGGCATAGTCAATTGCTTTATTACACACTTCTATCCGACGAGAAAACACTCGCTTGCGCCTATTTTTACATGTCATTTTTTTGGCTTTCAATCTCAATGATTAAACACATTTTGTCAACTTGAATAATTAAAGATCATCAAATTTTGCCCAACATTTACTCCACCTAACCTACCTGTGCAAATAGAGTAATTAAACAAGCAAACGTAAACTCTGCGCCCGTCTCGTTTGCTTCCAGTTTCTACGCCCTGATCGGTTGAGTTTCTAACTTGATTGAATTGCTTTTCAAAAAGGTGATATGTACTTTTAAATGAAACTTTCAAATATCTAGGAATAAATGAATAATAGAAGTGATTTTTCGAGAAATTAAAGTTTTATGTGACGAAAACCTCTCGTAAACGCAAAGAACGAAAATTTTTCCCTACGTAAAGATTGTTTTTAAATGTAGAAATTGATCAATTTCAGCATGATAAAACTAAAATTCTAAAAAATATGATTTTACAATTTTAAAACTTGCCTGGTATATCAAATTCAGGGATAACTCTAATACCTCGTACCCTCGCGAACTCAATGATTTCCTTGATATCTGCATGAGTATAGACCATTTTGGGGTGGTAGGCTGCCTAAAGTGGAGAAAAACGCCTCAGGTGAAGAAAATTCTCACTTAAAAAAATTTGAAAGATCTTTTATTGCGCACAAAATTATACAATTAACGCCTCCCTCCCCCCCCCCCAACCCCCAACCAAATGCACCAATAAAATTCCTTGACAAAGTAACCTTTTGTTACTTCAAGTCAAGATTTAAGAAGATTTGACACATAAAAAAAACAGAGCCATTTTTTGCGAACAAAAGCATTCTACTTCGAAAATGGATGAAAATATATGTTACAGGAACCATTTACATCTACATGCTGCTAAATTGGGATGGGGGAAATGTGTCATCGATTTGTAGAAGGAAGGAGGAAGGGAGAGGGTGAAAAAAAATTAGATTTAAACTTTTAACATGAATCCGATCAAGACATTGTCGCCTCCAGAAAAATACCCTTCCTAGCAGATTCATAATCAATATAACATTATTTTTCACCACGGGGTAATCGATAGGCCTACTGCCACATGGAGCACACTGGACAACGTATACTCACACGTCAAAAATTCTATAAGCCGGCAGTTGACTTCTCACTTCAAATTACCATGACCTGACTGTATGTCACATTCGACCACCTCCATAGCACTACCCTCTTCTCATTTTCTGCACCTTAGTGTCTGTTTGTCTCTTTTACATCTGTGAATCACTCTTCTGTACCTCCTCTCGACTTTTGATGACTTTGATGTTCCTCCCCTCCGTGAAGCCCGAAGTCAACTAAAGGGCTAATGACAACTATCATAAAGCCTGCCATTTGATATAACTAATTTCACCCTTTTAATCTACCTACCGTAGCACAACATTTGTTAGAAGTAAAGCTACTTAAACAACTACAAGCTGGTTAATTGGTTGCCTACATGCGCATATTCATGAACATAGGAGTAATATCAGTAATTCCATTATCACGCTGATAAAATGTCCTTACCTTCTTGTGGAGTTCGGGAAATGTTTTGCTGGCGAAAGGGAAAGACTGATCATCAACGAGGTGCCAGTGGAAAACATTGAATTTGCTGAATGCCATGGCCTCCTAAAATGCGAATAATTGCATTAAGGTCACATATTACAAATGTATTAATTATAAACTGACAATCAAGACCAGACAAAACAACGAGTTCGAACAGGATGAGGGAGAGAGGGAAAGAGAGAGAGGAAAGGGGGGGGGTTCATTTAAAAAAATAATTTTGTGTCAGAAGCGACACAACCCAGCTACCCTCTTAACATAAGATATTTGTTTTAATTTCAAGCGCATAAAATGCTCAGATAAATTATTTGTAAACACGTTCTTGTTTTACTATAATCAATCACGTGCAAAGGACCCAAAAAGGAGATAAATATGTGTACCTGGCATAGGTTTTTTCGAAGCTGTGTAAATGAATATATTCCCCACATAGGCTGCGTTTCAATCAGTCAATAGGTAAAAAGGAAGCAAGAGTGATATCCTTTACAACTAGTTGATAAATTAGAAATGAGCTTAAACTTGTGCAAAATTTCAAATTCACATCGTCAGAATTAAGCAGATATAGTGTCAATTCCTACTGGCATCGTGAAGTCTTTGAAAAGGTATAGTGGGGCGGACAGATCAACGTTAACCTCGTGAGTTGTGTTAGCGATAACTTGTTAAACAATTCCGCAATCGTTTAAGGATCTAATTTTTTTTATGGACTAGCTCACCCGCTGTCCTCAACTTACACATACCAATTCCATGCAATGACCAACAAGTTAACATGGTGGCTTATAAACTTCATTGCCACCTATCAGTATTCCATGTGTTGTCAAAATTCAGCACAAGAAGTCACCCTAAATTTAACTTAGTGGTAAAGCATACACCCGATCATATGTGTACTTTCCTCCATTGTCAATATTGATCCATAGTGCAGTTGTCAAGTCGAATGTGCAATTTCCTTCCATATCCACTAATGGCCAACATAATGATGCCGACACCTTATTAGACGTCATATTCACTAATTCGAAAATTGAGCACATTCCAGCCTGCCTACTTCAACCTGTGACTGTCAACCAGCCTCCCCAAGTGACTATTTCCTGATGGTACCGTCATTTCATCTCAGTGTGTAATCCGATTCAACACTTTTTCTGAAGTAGTTAATTGTCATTGGTTTAGTGGTAAAGTTGTTAGCGGACATATTTCAGAATGCTGAATTTGGCAACTCAATCAATCTCACTTCTGAAAAACTCCGTTAAACAACAAAGTTCAATTATCGGTTATGAAGATTGTAGCAGAATTCACAGAATTTTATTAGATTAGGCACTCACTGTCACTATAACGACCGGTGGGAAAAAAATAATCTCGATTATCAAGAGATCATGGGGAAATATTCAGGTGACTTCATTACACCAAATGAGAGCGTTCGATAAGTGCACAAAGTGATAATTGAATCTAGATGAATCTCCAATCACTTCCACATTTTTCTGCAACTGCAAAAACAACTTTGATCATTCCGAGCAAAATGCACGTTGGACGTTACATTACAAATTGAAAACCAAAGCTATTTAGCATGAAGGAAAACCAAAATTTCACTGTGAAAGCTACTATTTCACTTCCAGGTCAAAAAGGTCAAGGAGACACACAAATTTTGATTTACTTTAAACTCCTGAGGCGTTGGCAGACGTCATAATGAACAAAAAGTAGCAAACATCTAATCAAAGAAATTTAACAAACAAAGAAGAAAAAACAGACTTACGATAAAAGAACTTACCTAAGTGTCAATTAAATTAACTTGACAATGACACTCTCTTTGTTGTACTAATTTGCGAACGGAAAAGTGGGAATTTGAAATGTAAATGACAGGTGTTGAAAGAGAGGAAAAATGAACAGGGGAAACAATAGGGATTCCATATAGCTAATGAGAAAAGCGGTAAGGATTGGTTCACTATACGGCGGCCAATAATTCAATAGTTTAAATATGCTCCTATTGGTTCCTAAATTACGCCAATAAGCTATGCAATCACAGCACATCCACCTTCCCGTTTCCCTCAAGAGCATGAGCGATTGGAGCCTTATGACAGTGGTGATACAGCCTTTACAGCAAAAAAACCAAAGGCACGGGGCGGGGTTGGTAGTGAGGCATAGAAAACGTACCAAATTGACAAGAATAGTGTGCTTCGAGATGAAATGACGCGCAGTATCTAGATGCAAACCTCGATGGGAGAAAGTGGGGAAATCATTGATGAAGGTACGATTAATGAATATCTACAAATAAGGTAAAGGAAAATTGAATCCAACATGAAAAGTATATCAAACGAATCAAATTGAGTTGAGTTACCGAATAGCCGCTTGGTGAGCACCAAAGAAGCTGGCTGAATGTTTCAAGGGCACGAATCGCTCCCCAAACCTCTTTGGCAATTATCTTAACTCCGTCAGAATCAACCACCAGAGAGTCTGAAGGGAAACATCAAGAAGAGTACGGTTTATAAATTAAACATAACTGAAAATTTGAAGAGTCATACTCAAAGTAATTGGACTGGAATGATTGTCCAATAAGTTAAATTGGTTATTCAAATTAAACCAAAATACCTTAATTAATTCAACTTACTTCATGTTCACTTCAAATTGAAGTACTAAGTGAAGATAACTTATAAAAGAAACCAGTTACGCTCCTCTTCTATAAGGATCTCGATTTCTAGCTGTGCAAACTAACGGCTCACCGTGGGTTTGACCACATAGCTGGTGAGGGATCCATAATGGTTTGTCCGTTAAGATCGGTGCATAAAGCTATCGGTGACTACAACACGTAACTAATGATTGGCTTAAGAAATTGCAGATAAAAATGTCACATCAAATTAGGAGTAGTTCTAGATTTCATGTTATTATGTTCCTCTCATGTTTAAATTACATTTAAAAAATCGATTGGATTTTAGGTTACGAAGCTACTTATCTAACACTTTTGTTTAATTCACTAAAATAAACAAATGTGGAAGGTCAGAGCAAAACCAATCCATTAAAAATCAATGCGCACACGGACACGCACACACACGGGTGCGCAATTGCAGTGAACAAAAATAAAAATCAATAGCGTTGAAGGAACGATAAAGGAAAAATGATCTTAGGAGTGCATACAGGATTCATTCATCTCAGCAGAGGGCCAAAAGTGACCGAGACTTTTCACAGCGATTTGAAGACATTCGATGGCAAGTGAGTGAGGTTTATGGTTGGGGCAAGGAGGAAATAAAGTGAATTCACTAGCATCAGGTCCATAAAGATGGGTAGCCAGTTTTCTTGGGGGAAATTTGATGTTTAATCGAGAGACATCGTGAAGATTTTCATCAATCTCCTCATCTGAGATACTTCGAGGTACAGAGAAACGAGAAAATGTAGAAAGACGTGAGCAGCTTTTGGTCAGACGGTCGTAGCGACTGACGGCTTTCTGAAGAAAAGCGAGAGGGTTTGGTAAATAGCAATAACAAAACAAAATATTATTGATAACAATTACAGATTAATTAAGGATGTTCAAACACGTATCTAGCAGCTGCAAAACACTGGTTTCAGTCACTAAGATTCTGAAATCCGTATAAAATTGCTACTTAAGAAGAAATTCAGTGACTTGTGCAGCCAACCAACTTCGAGAATCCCCAAATTTGCAATTAAAATGAGCCGAAGAGCAACAACAAACTCTGCCACAAACAATATACGTAAAAACAGTGGGTAACCAAAGATAAACCCAAAACGATACTTTGATTCATATTCTTTTCCCCTAATAACAGGAAAACAAGGTGGTAAACAGAGACAGTGGAATCGACATATAAGGGAAAAAACAATTTCAAGCACTGTCCCCAGCTAGTTTGGAAGAAGCTGCGAATTAATAGAATTGGCAACGACGGAAATCAATCAATCAATCGCCAAGCTTGGAATTCTGTGGCTATAGAGTCCAATCCATGAAGCCAAGAGTCAAACAGGATACTTTTGCAATTATAACAGTAAACCGTTTCCAAGACAATGGACAGCACAATGCTTCCTGAATTCGAATGAGGCTCGACGTTGAATGTTCTGCCTTCTTCCAAGCCTCTTCCAGTCATTATAACTGATTGAATTCATTGCCCTTTTCCTAAAGAGCTTTCCACTGCCATCGACTACTACTACTAATAATAAAAGTAGTTCATTAGCCCAAAACTCAACCTTTGATAGAGCGAAATACTTAAAATTTTTCCTTCGTGTACTTTTTAGTTCGAAAATCAGTTGATTGAATGCCATGATGATGACAAATCATTACAGAAGTACAGGATTAGAACAACTAAACCGAAGAAATAAATTTGGTAGAGAACTCACCAGCAACGAAAGAAACTGAAGACAAGTGCACATAACTCGATCTTGGATAAAATTCGACAAGCTCTGCTAAGTTTGAATCCCAATTGTTTATATTAACTAACACCTTCGCGAAGCCATAGCTGGTGGCGCTAATATGGAATAATTTAAATTAGGTCAATTCTGGTGTACGATTGTTGTTACAATAAGATAAATTAAAACCTGACAGAGTGCAAATAAATGCTAAAATTCGATCATAAAAGCCCATATCTATAGCACAGTTTCCACTCACTTGGCTCGAAGACCAAGATCCAATTAAGCGTGCCCCCCAAAAACCTCAAAGAATGGAACTTTTTGGGAATAAAGGGACTATAACTACAAATGAAACCTTTTTCAAATATTATTTAGAAAACTCAAGTCAAAACCTCACATTTTTAAATGATCTCTCATTCAAATGCGCAAACAGCCAATGCTTTGTGTATAGGTCAGATTGCAAACGAAACGCCAAATTAGGTGTGTCCATTCTATGATTGAATTTACTTCATACAAAACGAATAACTACCACATTATTTGGGTTTTAAAATATGGATTTACTCCTCCTTCTGCTAACCATGCATATACAAAGCAGACCTCAAATACACCAAGGCAAGACAAAATAAGCACTTCGAGAAGCAGCTGAATGTCCAACAAAAAGAAATAACGCCAGAAATAATGTGATTTTTCTAATTTAGTAGAGTTCCCGATCCAAAGTTAGAATTTCATGATTCATCTAGTTTGTTTCAATAAAGAAGCGTAGATCTGCCAATGGTTGAGAAGACAAAATTATCTCATTCGATAGCTAGCGACTTACAGCTCTTGAATGAAAGAGATAAGCTATCTGTTTGCTCAAGTAACTAGCAAATCGAGATATTTTTGTTTTATTCTATTTTTAACAAAAAAGGAGCCTATTTGAAATATTCAGTAGAGAGAGAGAATCAAATACTCACTTTAAGGATATAGTTAGAAGGGCCGTTGATAGAGATATTGAAAGCAGGTGATAACTTGAAGAAAACTTCATCTTTGTGCCAGACCTGTGGTTTTGGAACCACTTGTCCGAAGGTTGGTGTAGGCGCTCGGGGAATGGGAATTAGGTTCTGGGGAGAATCGACGTAAGCCCAAACTTTCTCATTCCAAGAAATATCATCTACTGGCTATATAAAAAAGAGAATAACCATTTATTATTGATGAAACTTGAGCAAATTATGCATGCTTATATCGTCTGAACGTGTGCCAATTTTTTGACAATTGATTTCTTTCAAAAAGATCTAGAAAATCCTCTCTCTGGTCAATTCCTCTCCATTAGTAACGGCTGCTTATCCAATCGCTTTACATATTCGTCTCTTTTTTATTCAACAATAATCACCCGGTCTTAAAACTTTGCAAATCTCAAATGCCGCTTTATTACTTAACACTCAGCGAATTTGAAAATGTCCATGAAATTAGGGAATATAGAGTGCAGCAGAAGCACAAATCTGCACTCATGAAGGTCATAAGTCATAGCAAATACAAACTCGTTTGACCTCAAAGCTACGCGCAATACGTCTTAAATTATTGCTCTTCTCAACACTATATTTTAAATAACATACTGGTTTAAGCAGTGTTCTTGCCAAAACTAACAGTGAAATTACAGTGTCCAAAGCGCGTTTATATCAAATCTGACTTAAGAGAGGTCAGCTAATCAGCTTGACATTCATTTGTAGGTTTTGGACACTCAGAGCAAACACCTGTTCACTCTCGCACCCCCTCTCCCACCCACTTACTCGAATTTTCAAAGTTGTTCCACAACAAAAATTGGTACATTCTCAACATCTCACATTCTGATGCTGGTCGCAGTCTAGCTCCTAAAAACTGTTGGCTCTAATCCGGCTGATGCTACGACAGAGAGGTACGCACCGTATTATATAAAAAATACAAGTGCGAAACCACCGAATGTCGTTCTACCTTCTCACCATTGAAGCAAATGTCTTGCTAAAAACCATAAACCCCCTCTCACCAACCCGATTGCTTATTTGTAAAGAACAAAAATTGAAGTTCTAAACAGAAAAACAAATCAATTGGGAGTTAGATGAAATTTGCATAAGCACATCATGACGATGCAGCCTATATTAGTGCAAAAATTAAGCACACAATAAAAAATTGAACAGCATGCACAACTTACTACGTTATAAGTCGGAAATTTGATATCTAAAAAATATAATAAAAAAGAATAAGCGGTGGGAAGGGGAAACAATGCTTTACCGCGCAACCGCGGTGCCATCATGGCGCTTCCAGGTCATAATCGCAGAGAACCAAAGATGACGAATTCAATTCTGCCTCATCTATTGGTCCATTGCTTGACCAATTATTTTCGTCTACATTGGAAACGGATGTCCAATAATTAGTTCAAACCTCTCCGGATGTGCACAATTCGAACATACCTAATTCTTGCAGAGTTAATTGGGCCTAAACTGCATCGACACAAATGGTGCTGTGCGGATAGTGGAATAACCTAACTTGTTTTTATAACCCCTCTCCAGAGCCTAAGCAACTACAGAATTAATAAGAAGAGTCGATAGTACAACTAGTTCTTTCACACACACCTGGAAATTAAGTCTTGATGTAGTTGCATTGATAATAACCAATCTGCTTTAATAACAATAAATACAACATTTGAGTAATAGTACGGGGGCACAGCAATACCCGTATGATTGAAAGATTTTCATGAGCATAATTAAAAAAGGCCATCAATAATCCCCATAATTATTTTTTCCTCATTTATCAAATTCCAGGTTAAAAATCTAAGTAGGCAGCCTATTCAACAAATCGATGTGAACGTGAAACAAAATAAATGGGGAAAATACGAAAGATGGGGACGGTCTCGTTTGATTACCAATTGTCAAAAAGTGGGTTTGATTACTGACGTGACAAGCTACCCATAAGTATTTCCCTTTCATTATTACATGACGACGCAATGGGACACCTTATCAGGTGAATTTCAAATCTTCAAGGGGGCATATTTAACAACACAGCATCAAACTGACACAAGGCAATCAAAGGGTGGTCAGAATGAATTTGACAATCTCATCAGGAAAAAAAGGCCTCAAAGTTGCAAAAATTAACCGATTTAAAATAAATTTAATATAAAACAAAAAATACCTCTGTCAGTGAGCTTCATACTTACATCTAATTTAAAGAATTAAATAAGTTAATTACTTTAGTGCATATTGACCGTTGTGTTACAGATGGGACTTGGATCTATTGGGTGGGCAACTAAGTCATTGCCGTTTTGTTGACAGATTCACTCTATACTTTCTTTTGTTTTGTTAACGTGGCCAGAGCATCTAACCTATATTTTTTCCTACTGTATGGGCTTCTAGGTTAATTAGTAACAAAATTTTTTTTGTTTAGTTCTTTAGTTTTGTTTTTATCCCAATTTAAAAATGAAAGAACAGGACGTGCACTTCCGACACATTTTATTGTATTACTTCCGAAAAGGCAAGAACGCATCGCAAGCACAAAAGAAGTTATGTGCCGTATATGGAGATGAAGCCTTAAAAGAAAGGCAGTGTCGAAATTGGTTTGAAAGATTTCGTTCCGGTGATTTTTCACTGAAAAATTCACAACGATCTGGCCACCCAGTCAAAGTGGATGAAACCCATATCAAGGCCATTATCGATTCAAATCGTCACAGCACAACACGAGATATTGCAGAGAAGCTCAATGTGTCGCATACATGCATTGAAAAAAAATTAAAAACCCTTGCTTATGTCAAGAAACTTGATTTATGGATCCCTCACCAGTTAAAGGAAATTCATTTGACGCAACGGATTAGCATTTGTGATTCGCCGCTACTGAAACGCAATGAGAATGATCCATTTCTGAAGAACCTAGTTACTGGCGACGAAAAGTGGATAGTTTATAACAATGTCGTTACTCGCAAGAGATCATGGGTGAAGCAAGATCAACCAGCCCAAACAGTATCAAAAGCAGAGATTCACCAAAAAAAGATTATGCTGTCAGTCTGGTGGGATCACAAAGGAATTTTATATTTTGAACTCATGCCGCAGAACCAAACGATAAATTCAAATGTGTATGCTGAAGAACTCGAAAAAATGAAGGATGCAATTGAAGATAAGCGGCCGGCATTATCAAATCGGCGGAAGGGTGTTGTTTTCCATCATGATAACCCAAGGCCCCACACATCTTTGGTTACTCGGCAAAAATTATTGGAACTGGGTTGGGATGTTTTGTCACACCCACCCCATATATAGCCCTGACCTTGCGCCTTCGGATTACCATTTGTTTCGTTCCATGCAAAACTCTTTAAATGGTAAAATTTTTAACAACGCGGATGATGTCGGATCACACCTAATTCAGTTTTTTAATAGCAAAGACCAGACATTTTACGAACGGGGAATTTTTACTCTGCCAGAACGATGGAAAAAGGTCATCGACAAGAACGGCCAATATCTAATTGAATAAAGTTATATTTTTAAACAAAAATTCCGAATTCGCCTTCTTATTTGAAATCGGCAATGACTTAGTTGCCAACCTAATACATTACAAACACTTGGATATCAAAATAACTGAGTTTGATTAAAAAAATAATAACAATTGAAAATATGTCCAATGCACTTATTTCGTCAGTCACTGACATAGACGTCAAAGACAAACTGAACAGTTTGATGGGCTCCAACTCCATTGCATTGCTCTGATTATCTGCTACGCGAGTGTTCAAATAAGGCATCAGTGATAACACTCGACAAATTCTTGATACATTACAGCTTACTTGGATGACATGCGTGACAGGCTCGACAATTTTCTTTTCCGAGCGATGAATGTTTTACCAGTGAATATAAGCATATATTACGGTGCAGATATTCACAACACACACACCACTGAATCCGTGCATATAGAGGAAGAGAAGAAGATTTTCAATCGAAAACCCAAAAGTTCAAACCGTGGAGTTGGAAATGACCTTACACGCTGATTAATGTTAGTCTAATGAAAGAAAGGTCAGAAAAAAAGATATCCTAAAAGAAGACACATTAAGCTGAAAAAAATACTAATTCCTGCCAAATTTAGCTACTTAAAAAGTGAATGTAGGAACATTGGCATTAACGAAAGATCCTAGAAATGTCTCCATTAAAAACGGGACTACAGAAGAGTTATAAGGCCTCGGTGAAAAATAAGACTTAGGTTTGTCACTTTGACCTCTTGAAGAGGTATATCGGCCAAACTCAGGCATTAACAAGATCGCATTTGGCGGCAGGATGTCAGGACACCTACTCTATCCAAGTCAAGTGGTCTTGACACCTCGTTGGATAAATTTTATGGCTTCATTACAATCTTCGGGAGAACTTGCAGAGAACTCCGAAAGCAGTCAACTGTCGAGCCGAATTCAGGCGCCAAGCAGGTGTATTGTACTTTCAACAGCTCTCCTTCAATTGAGACCAATTCCTACTTTTCCGATTTGCTTTAATGTCCACCTTAGTAAAATGCTGTTCTGTGCTTAAAAATAGGCTCATGTTTTCAAAAGTTCATATTGAGAACATAGTGGGTAATAGAACTACATAAAGAAATAATCGATTATTCCAGCGAATGTGTTGGCAACTAAAATGGGATAATTATTCAAGAATATGGCGTACAGACGCGAACCAATGGGAAATCAATTCGAATACGACGCACTCAAGAGTCCCGAAGTGATTGGTTAATGCGACCGCTAAATTTTGCCAAATTAAGGGGGCTACATTCGTCAGTTGAAGGTTTATAAACAGAAAAATATGGATAAATTATCAAAGATAAATAAATTAACACACCCTTTCCATCTTTCAGAACCTTGGCAATCTTGTTTCCACTTTTCGATCCAGGCATTTGTCTTGGTGCCTTCAGAACATCTTGAAATGAAACAGGAAGCCTAGAATCAATACTCTCAACTTGATTTTCGTTTTGTTTTTGTCTTCCATTAAAAATATCGCCAAGTAAACCCCCTTGAACAAGTACTTGAAGGCTCAAAAGCACAATGGGAACATCAGATCTCATGCCTAAAAAATAATTAACTAAAGATAAGATAAGGTAAGATTGGAAGTGGTAAGAGTAAACGAAGGCCATATCATGTATTTATTCAGTCATTTGGCAAGATTACATTCAAACAGGGAAGCACATATTGAGAATAAATGAAGAGGGGGGGGGGGGGAGTGGAGAGCCAAGAGAAATATTATATAAGACATGAAGGGGAAAGGCTGGCGCTTATCGATGTTACCCTGATTAGCACATTTTATTAAAAGATTAAAGTTCAACAGGAAAGGCAATTTTATCGCTACTGTTGGTAGCTGATAGGTTTCTCGTAGACTGTTTTCCACTGCTACCTCCACCACCAGCACCACCATGTCTGCGGCGTCTATGATGATGGTGATGATAATGTGGTCTAACAGCCGAGTTACTATTGGCATTGTTGGGATTATTCGCTGCTGTGCCACGACTTGAGGACCATGATGGACCTATAGAATGTGAACTATTGCTTGCGGTTCGCGGTGCACCTTCAGCTGATTGGGCACCACGTGTGGAAGGACCGCCGCCGAAGCTGGAGGAGGACTGAGTGTCAACAGTACGCCCAGAACGTCTCCGTGGGCGTCTGTGATCACGTGATCCAGTAAGATGGGACCCACCGCTTCCAGAGCCAGTGCCACCACCGATCTCTCCAAGATAGACAATTCCTCCATCGGCTACAAGGTGAGCATTGTCTGGAGAATTTAGATGTTGGAAGTTGTCAAAACGAGTAGAATGGAGGGGAGATTTTTGAGAAGATGTTGAAGAGACCTGCTGTTGTGTAGAAGCAGGAGCCGGTGGACATGGAAGAACATTAGCAGGAGATGGTGAACCGATGAAACAACGAGAATCGGCTGTAGGTCTATTTACCTTTGGATCTGAAACCAAATCGAAACTCCCAATTTTAAAAGAATAAAATACCGCAGAAATAGTCGACACACAATAAAGACCTCAGAGTTAGATTTAGTCAATCTCGCAAATTTTCGAGGTGCTTTAAAGCACTATCTGAATATTTGCCAAGCGTTTCCAACATTCATATTTGGTAGAGGGATAGTATCACAGAGTCCCTCTGGTTAGAAACCCAAACTCTGTCGTTATATTTATGCTCTAGAACGAATCTACACGGTTGGCTATCTCACTAATTGGGTGGGCCAAGATGGACACCGAAGCCATGACCTCAGAATTCACAGATTACCGCTCTAATCACACCACCATCGGGACATTTATCATTACTGCGAACTGGCTAGATATTCTATCTTAACGTAAACAGAGAAACTTGAATATTTGAAGAAGACGCTTGACTACCCAACTACTCTTTAAAGTTTAAATGACAACAGAAACATAGACATAGGCTTAACTGAAAAAAATCGGCAAGATCAATGTAAGGCTCCCGAGTATTAAGTACTATAAACAGACGGGATCAAAAACATTTGATGAATAGGGTTAACCTTGGAAACTCTAATTAAGGGCTGAATGCGGCAGTCAACTGAAAGTCTTGGGGGGGGGGGACACTTGATGAAAGCCCGTCAAGTAGATGTGACAAATTGGTTGACAAAAAAGAGATCATCAATAAAATTAAAACAAAAATTTATGCAGGATGAAGACCGTTCATCATTAAGAAAGCAGACAAAGTAAAACTCATCAATCTCTTTGTTTTCGAGGTAACAATGAAATGTTACCACATTTAGATGGAGCATCCTTTTCCAGGTTGGAGTCTTCGACAAATAACATACATACACGAGTAACTTTGAATTCTTGCCTTCAATTTGTAAGGCAACTGGTCGATCATACCTGACTGAAAGACTTCGGAAAAAGTAAAGAATATTCTCACTTTGTCCAAGATTAAAAGCCAAAGGATAAAAGGCCTATTCAAAATATCACACCCCAAAACAAGTTGAAGGAAAGGGTGAGGTAAAGGAATCATTATTACTCAGCGTCGTGCACAAAAATGCCCTTGTATTACGTTAACATGGATTGCCTCGCCTAAGCATGGACTTCTGCAATGATAAGCTAGATCTACTATTGTTATTATTGTGGAAAGTGGTAGACATGAATTAGAAGTAAATCCAACGGATGGCAAATAGAAGAGGGTCAACAGGTGACAATGGCCAAGGCAACAAGGAATCCTAGGTTTAAGTCTTGTTCTTATTACCAATTTGGGCTATTCACATTCGCCCCCCCCCCGGGGATTATGTACTTATTGACCTTGAAAATAGTCGGTTTTACCAAATCAGCCTATTTTCTCTTCCGATCTTGTTTAACCCTATTCTTTACAATTAGGACTGTTATATACAAATCAGACACTGAATTAACAACTATCGCTTTTTCGTGCTCACGAATGGAAATAGAATTTCGTTGATGCTGTGATTTGCAAGTAACCAAGTGGACAATCATTTCTTTAGACTTCAAACATAGACTAGCTAGTCTTAGCTCTGAAGGAGGAGTTTCTCAGAATAATAGTGTCTTCAGAAACTGCAACGATACCCAGGCTAATAGAGAGAATTTTGCTCGTACTTGAGTTTTCAGGAGGGCGTGGAGGTGCTTGCTGAGGCTTTTCAAGCTAATGAGTGATTGACATTCCTATAAAAATGATTGTTTGATTTTGCAATACAACTTTTTTGCACAGTATGTTCTGCCTTCCCTCATTTCTGGTATACGGCCTGATTAATATTGGGAATTGAGAACACCAAGAGATTAACTAAGTATAACGAGAGCTTATTATTAATATGAAGACCCGCTTTCAGCTTCATTAATTGACCATATGAGCAATCACCTCTCTGTTTATAACGCTAGCGATCAATATTTACGCCTGAACTGGTAGCCGAGGTTATTCTTATTCCAAGTGAGGTATATAATTCGATCTTAGGTGCGGTCTAAAGAGTTGGTGGTATAAAACTTCAATGCTCAACCGCAAGGTCAATCAACGACCCCTCTCAGGAACAAAGGGTCTAGATTTTGATGACTGGAAATCAAAGCGTTAGGTTCTAACGCAACAGACTATGCTCATTAAACGACAAACAGACGAACTGATGTGTTCCGAAATCAGTTGAAGCCAGGTCCTTTTGTTGTGGCAACTTATACCTTCTCCTGCTACCGTTTCTACTGTCCCACTCTTCCAAAATCTTAGATGAAATGAAGGAATGAAAGAAAGTAATGAAGTTAAGTTCTTCCACACTTTTATGGTTTCCCTATTTTCCAAAATAGAGATCACAACTGTGTTCACTACTAGTTAAGTAAGCTAGCCAGACAGCAGGAAGTCTACAGTAATTTGAAATCACCGTTGGCTGACCGTCTACGCCAAATATGGAATAACTTGAAATTATGATGGCTATTTTGTCTCAACTTTACGCCATCTATCATCATGTGATCCCGAGCGTGACCAAAGACGCCTGAATTCCATGACTTTGTTTTGTCTAGACGCACAGACGTCAATTAGAAATCCAAAGTCAGGGCCTGGTCTGTCTAGACAGGTAAGAAGTAAAATCATTTCTGGATTTTTATCTAATGATAAACGGCCTTGAAACTTAAAGCACCCCCCACCCAGCCCCAACCTCGATTCACATAACTAATCCATCATCCTAGAGCGCGATCGGAAACACGTCCGATTTCTCCTAAGTTGTTTTGACTAGACAGCCGTATTTCACCAAACCCTCGTCTGAACTTGGGCTGTCTAGACAAAGTCCCACTTCGAAGATGCGTATGTGAAAGGGGGAGAGCAAACAACGTAAGGACCAAAAGTGAAATCAACAGCTGCTTAGACTGTGAGTTAACCACTGGTTAAGTGTTAAACAAGAAGTCGGCATGTTAGCTCATAGCACTCTTTCCTGAAGGTCATTTTAGTTTGCATTAGCTAACTGCTATTGGAAATTAGAAAAGATAGCCATATTCAACAGAATGATCAGCCATTAACATTTTTTCTGCCTGATAAACTGGAACAAAACGATCCGGGAATCCACAGATTAAATCCTGAAACTGAAACTTTGGGGCATGACGCATTTAAATATACACTTTTATTTAGATGCGAAAACTCCAATCAATTTAGAAAGAAACTCAAGCGACTTAGTTCGCTATCTCTATTTAATTCTCCTCAATTCATCTTGTGATAGCATACCTAGGAAAAAACTACTGGGATTTCCCGAGAATCCGCTCAGGGCAGTTAAACGGAAACTCCAATTTCATAAAATTATATTTTTGTAACCGGGGTGTGTTATAGACTCACCTCCACGTGGTGCAACTGAGCAACGTATACTCATGCGACAAAAGTCTATAAACCAGCAGTTGACTTCTCACTTCAAACTACCATGACCCGACTGCAGGTCATAGTTGACCCCTTTCACAGTACTCATCTTGCCCTTTTCTCTGCCATTGCGTCTTTTTGTCTCTTTGACAACTGTGAATTACTTCGGTTCCCCATCTAGACTTTTCTCGTTTTGATGCTCCTTGTCCCCATGAAGCCCAAAGTCAGCTAAAGGGTTAATGATAACTATCGAAACCTTGCAATTCAATATAAATAAATATATAATTTTTTGAACCAAATAACCGTTCACCCGAATAAGCGCCCATGGGCGATAATACAGAAGTAAAATACTTCACTTAAGAACTTTCGGAAAACCGCGGTAAATGAACAATTTTTTTATAGAGATACAATATTTACCAATTGACACTTATTCTCATAACTCGAATAACAATTTGTTCTAAAATAAACTTATAAAACAATTAATTGAAGAATTGAAATAAAATTTATGAAGCTGGAAAAATCAAGTTCAAATTAAACAGGTGAATATAAAAATTGTAGATTAATTTAAACCATTCCGAATACAAAAAAAACAAAACTTCCCTATTTAGTAAGGGCTTATTAAACAACACAGACGAAAAACAAATTTCAAGCGACTTTTGGGAGAAATCGTCGTCACCCGGCAAATATCTCAACTTCTGGAAGATAACTTCCCCGAGGTATTTGAGAAGTATGGTCAATTCAGAAGAAACGCAGTGAACAACTTTTAAGACGTACACAGACACGATGACCCAAACTTTACCCATGATAAGGATGAGGAAGAGAACACATACACACAGGTTAAACCAACGCTAATGGCCATGACCTTAGAGAATATAAAAATGACCCATTAATATAGCAGATATTTAAAAAAAGGAAAAGAAGTTATTCTCTCAAGGCCGACCATTTCGGAATATTTGTTCCTAGTCAAGATAATTTTTCTGCCATACAGAGAAAAGCAAGAGAACCAGAGTACAACAGGAGAAGTGATCGAATTTAAACTGCAAAATAGATCAATTTCTTCTCAGACTATAAATTCCCCCATTCGAATACCTGTCCCTATTTGTGTTCCTGAATTTCGGTCACTGAAGACGTCTTGATATATTCTACTGCCCTTTCCATAATCCACTTAACAAACGGGATTAGAAATGATGTTCAACGGTTATGAACTAACGATAACTGCCCGTAAATGCAAAGATCAATCGTACTGACGTAGAAGATGAACAGTTTACCAATGCACGTGATTCAAGATGTTACTCATGTGTCTAAGAGCAAGTTGTGGAGACTTATCTAAAATTTTGTGAATTGACAAACAAACAATCGGACTAACCTGAAATTCTACAATGGGGTGGTAGAGGAGACTTATTTTGAGGTTGCATTGCCATTGGTCGATTGTTCTGCATAGGCAGCTGCTGTTGCTGTGGGTACCACTGGGGTTGATGGGGTTGTGTCGGAGGTGGAGGACAACAAACAGGTTGCATATTCCAAACTCCAGGATTCGGATGGGACTGTTGGTTCTGAAATTGTCTAAGGATGGGAGCGTTAGATGAAACCTGTTGGTGATGATACAAATCTCCCATCGATTTTCCTGGAGTAATCATCATTTGCTGTTGATGTTGCAACATTTGACTCTGGAAGGCTTCCGGAGATTTGTGCATTCCGTTAAGAAGCGTGGAAGGATCCACTTGTTGTCCACCCAGTTCATCACTTATTGGACGATTCGCACCATTGAATACTGTGATGCCAACAGTGTTGGGTGAATTGGGACCACCCAAGTTGGAGCGCTTTCGAAAACAACAGTAACAGACTACACATCCAAGACAGAGTACCACGAATAGGGTACCTGTAATAACTAATGCGATGGTTGTAGTCAGTCCAAGGGTAAGGAAGGGATTGAAAAATCCCTTGTCTGAGTCTAAAAAACACGACAATTGCAAAATTTAGAAAACTCCATGGCAAAATTGCTCCCAAAACACCACATATTGGCTCACCAATGTTGACAGTTAAAGTTGTTAAAAATGAAGCTTGTTGTAGAGAGCGGTGTTTTTAGAAGTTAAGCCTATGAAATGGGATGTTAGGAAAACACAACAAACATTTTGAATAGATAATCATTCCAAGGTGAGACTCAATGCTGTTATAGTGCATGGAAATTTAATTTATATGCTCACTATAGATATCTCAGGAGGGCAGATGGCTCAAACACGGTGCAGTTACCCCCAAGATCACAGAAACTCCGAATCACCGGAAATTTTTGTCCCGTTAAGTGCCGGCTGGCCAGGAGTGGAGAGCGACCGAATATTTATAAGGATTTTCGATCTAAGGACCACCTGCCAAAATTGTCCACATAAACTCGCTTTCTTGTAATCGTTTTATAAAACTCCTACTAATATTATGTATGAAGACAGTGTCTTCTGATAGTGGCCACTGGATAGTGAGTCTAGATTAGGCAAAGTTGTAATCAAATCAGCAGTGGTCCAACATTCATAGACTCATCTCTAAGGCTTTGTTTAGTGGAAGTCCACTGGTGGAGGAATAACAATGAATCTATTCCTCTGAGGAGCTCAGTGCAATTCGGAATGATGCAGTAGAATCACCCCGATTTAAGACAAACATATGAAATATAGGTGAATTGACGATCCTAATCAAGCGGTTGAGACTCGTGATCCTTTAGTGTTAGTAATATGAGCATTAAGTTAATTCCTAGTGCGTCTGTGTGCAATTATCGATTTCCATTCAATTGATTTCACATCGGCCTCCCGCCGAGTGTAGGAAATTGCATGTCTCATCATAATCTTTGCTCCTATTTGATTAATTACATTCATTTAAATCGATTTTTTTCAGTTCTATTATTTGATTAAAGCTTTATATAGCAGAGCATATGTAAGTAGAAAACAGTTAAAAAGGATGGGTAGAAATGGCAGTAACTTTAAAACATAGCTACCGAAAGAAACTTTTTTTAACATTAACAAATCTTATTACAAGTAGGCTTTAATTGGTGATAACAGTATAGTGATAAGGAGACTGCATTATTTTGATTGTTACGTCTATACAAATAACGAGAAAAATACGAGCATACGACATTGTCTGATTTTGGCTTTGAAAAAGACCAACAAAAATTACCGTGATAGGCATGCAGGCAGAAGATATAAAGTGTGCAATAACTTGTCATGTGAATATGAGTATAACCTTACACCATGTTTTACATTTATATATTAGAAAAGCCTAATTGATAAGTCAATTCTCCAAAAAGAATGGTGTGATTGACAATGAAACCCCGTGATTTCAAAAAGGGGGGAAGTAGTGACACCACTTAATAAATTGGGAACGTGATAAATCATACTGAAAAAAGTTGTAAAAATTTAATTTAATTTCCTGACGCACTCCACAATAAATGGGAAATTTCTACTAGTTTGGCAAAAAAAATGAAAATCAGTTACTAAGCCCACTAAAATGCTAATTTATACCATTTATACCAAAACGATATCAACTGAGCCAAATTCCCTTATTCATATTTACATTTTAATGACTATAATAGGATCACACTGAAGGAGCGGTGATAGACGCTACAGCTGATATCTCAGTAGAGATTACTCAACTTTCATGATTAATTACGAGATTCACAGACAGAAGAAATCGGATTTGAATCAGGAGTACTGTTTATCAAATCAATCTCCAAGGAATTCATCTGAGTTCCGCGAAGATTCAGTCGCTAGACTGTATGGAAAACGGAATTGCGATCCTTAGTAAGACCCCCCCCCCCAACTGTAACATAGCTACAACTAGTAAGAATTTTCAAACTTCGAAGAAATTTTTTAAAATTTAGCAAACAAATTTGAAATTATTTGTAAAGAATGAATGGAAAAATATAATGACTCAGTGATAGTTTGACTTTAAAAAGGCGAAAAGGCCCACATCACTATAATTATATGTCAGGAGTTAATAAAGTAGATTGGAGCCTGATTCAACTGCACAAAGTTAGCATACCTTGTACTACTGAAAGAACCCAAGGAATTTCAAGTTGCCCTTATGAAATTTCAATTAGGAAAATCCTCCACATGAAAAGAGATTTGCGAAGTTGAACTTTATTTAAACTTGAACTTTAAATCCCGTTATTAGGAAACCGATAAGAACATCAAGCGGACATAACTTTAAGTGTACATATCAATCAATGCACTCACACAAGTTTGAAGTATAAGGGGATAATTTTCACTCAAAGCGCCTTCTAATTGGACCAATCAGGACTTAGCGAACGCTTAAAGCATTCGGATCAGCTAAATAAAAATGCGCGGTAGTAGGAATAGAGCGAATTGCGCAAGGAAAACGGAGAGAGTGCAAATAAAAATGATGATTTATATGGACAAAACACCACACGCTTATGCTCGCATGCATACACACACACACACACACACCCCGAAGAAACACAACTGTCATGCTGGTAACCTAATCATTCCATCACCAAAAAATACGCTGCCTATATACCAAAATAATAATAATATATAATATAATAAGCACAAGGGAACGATGAGTAAGGTTTTGCTTAAAATTGCGACATTGCAGAGTTACAAAATAATAAGAGTTGGCTCATAGGATTGACTCGGGTAAATTCCACCGCCAGTATTCAGAGAAGACTTTCAGGTAGTCTTCCCAATTATATTGCTCTTCAGGTTTTTAAGTCATCAGGCAGCAAAGAGTATCGAAAGAAAACTTACAAACAATGTATTAAGCCACTTTAACCCCGTTTAACGCCTGAAGTATTTCTTGAAAATGCTCCCAACTGCATTCACACATGTCTCACAGTAGATTGATGCAGCCGAGGTGATGAGTTTTGGTGGTATATCAGGCTAAGGCTACATAGACGTATTGAACATGTTTCCAACGGGAATAGCGCCTTCTTATACGAGTCTGGTACCAGTGGAGCTTATTTTGAAAGTGGACCGTACGGTCCCAAGAGCGTTAAAAGGTTAAGAGGTCTTTGGTTTGGCATGCTTGTCATGTCAAAAACAGGTAACTACGTCGATTCTAGTCTCCTAAAGCACGGATTCCCGCCTCAAGAGAAACCAAACGAGAAAGAGTGGTGCAAGGATGAAAACTGGAAATTCCCCCTCTTTTCTCCATTTACAATGACCAATGACCAACAATGATTAACAGTGCCCACCTTTAAAACTTGACATTGACATATTAGATCCACTGGAACAGCTTCATAGGGCCTTATGAGCAGACAAGTCTACCTTTCTCTAAGTCCAGTAATAAAATACCCCATGAACTGAATATCCCTACTCTTGGATATCCGCATGTCGATCAGTGCAAAAGCACAATGTATTGGCCAATAGGCGAAGCGTACTTCTAGGTCCATTGCGAAAAATAGCAAATTGAACACACGAAGACATGTATTACCCCTCGGTAGAGCTTCTACCATTTGCTAAAAAAACCACATCACATGTGTACAGCCTCAAAAAGTGATAGAAAATGGTATAAATTGGCGGTAAATAGAACGTGTTGCTAAGTCCCTAACTCATCGCTTTCACATCACCTTGGTAACCCGAATTACTCGGCACTTCCGACAAAATTGAAGACGCACAACACGTTGAAGGAGTAAGCGCGAATGAGCTAACCCATCGATGTAAATACTACCCTATATAGCCAGGGAATTTGTGCGGGTATTCACAAGCATAACCATATCTAGGGGGGGGGGGAAGAAGGAAGCCAGCGTGTTGGATGTGCTTTTGGTTGAAAAAAAAGAGCCTTCGATAATCCCCTTAAGGAGATAGTCGCAATCAGTACCATTTGATTCCCCACCTCCCCTTCCATTAATACAAGACCGTGTAGAATAAAAGAAATTGGAATAAGGAACAATGGGCTGGAGAAGTGGTAAACCAAAAAATGAGGAATCAATTACCTCGTCTAGACTTTGAAATTACTGGTGTGGTATCTACCTAAACTCCCTTTTGAGACAAGGCAATTTGATAATGACGGACCTATAGTCAGGCGTGCTTCGTTTGTCCATCGAAGCAGTTGTAATGGACACGCAATAAAATGCAATGCGATCCATAAAAGATGCGTTTTCACCCCAGGAGTGCTCAGTCCTCAATACGTCATATTTTGCACTCAACTTTGTTTCCTCTTTGTCCAACAAAAGGTGAATCCACATGAACTAATTTCGCAGATCTCTTCTCACGCATGACGCAAAAATTGCTGTTTCAGAGGGCATGTGCCTGTGTGTTTGTAATATATTCCATCCAACTACTCATTCTCTGTTGAATCAGTGACACGGAACGTCTACACGGAAAATTCTCTTTCTCCGCACACTCTTCACTGCAGTTAGTACTTAAATATGACAAATAACAAAATTCCACTATCTGATCATTAAACGCCTATTTTACAGATGTCTTTAAAATTATAACAAGTTTAAGATCTTTTTTTTAAATCCGATGGCTTGACTTTCAATAAGTGATTAGACTGTAAAGGCATGCCATATTCGCGTTTTTCAGAGTGAAAAACTCTATCAGCATTTAAATTCCCATTTTCATTCAATTCAAGCCAAATATGATCCGTCGATAAGTATTTTGAACGGTTTATAGCATATTACCAAACAAATTTTCCGTGGACAACGAAAGATAAACCTTAATGGAAGACGTAGAAAGCGAAAAGATCCACTGTCAGTTTGGTGCAAAAAAAGTGCGAACAATATGATTTCGCAATCATTTTCACTCAATTTTAAGAAATCAATAACACGACGATTCAATGGTCATCGGTGCATTTGCGCATCGGTTGAGTCTGGGATAACAAAGAGTGCGTCAAAATTGAAGTTTCTTGAAAGGGAAGCTCTGTGATAGTCTTCCAATACTTAGATGCGTGTCAAAAATCCTTTTACTCAATGGCGTTGGGAAAATACATTTGCCAATTGTGCCTGCTACAATAAGTTGACAATGAAACAATGGTATTTGGGAACTTCCATGTTCCAGAGCTGATTCGTATGACTCAACGTTCAAAAAGTAACTAATCATTACGAGAGGCGGTTTTGAATTACAATCACAAATCACTTAATGGACTAGCAAATAACAATTCAAATACGAGGAAAGACGAATTTTTAGCCAATCGAAGCTCGGAAATTCACAAGTTCACACAAAAAAGGGAGACGAGAGTGATCAGAATGATTTGACAGAGGTTAGTAAAAAAGATAAACTGTTTTTACGAGAAATTTCATCACATAAAATTGATAGTTTGAAATGCATGACAGTGCAGGTATTTTCACACTTGAAGTCAAGTGTCAGTTGTTAATATGAGAGGTTGTGAAGCCAAGGAATACAAGTAAACAGCTTCTTAACTTACCTCTCAACTAAAGAGAAAGTCACAAAACTCTTGAAATCAATTTTGGCGCCCAATCAGTTAACAAATCAGTTGCTTTGAAGTCGAATCATGCACAGATTATTAGTCGGACCAATGACTCACCTTGAAAACGGCTGCACAAAGAGGGAGATTCATCTCTGCCATCTGGACAGTTGACAACGCCATCGCAACGAACTCTTTCCGAGACACAGATGCCCATAGAAGGCAGACGAACAGCTGACCCGCCACCTCTATTAAAGTCTAGGACGTTGCTGGCCCCCGTTGATGCAGCGACGGTGGCAATATTGCCACAATAGAAACGACCCTGTGGACATGCATAATTTTGACCTTGAGCAGAAAAAAAACAGAGAGGAAACAGTTACGTACATTGAACAACTGGTGCTGCCCATGTTAATGCATTTCGTACATATTTGAGGCAGTCACGTCAAGAAATACCACCAGCACACAACGAACAAAAAAAAATAAAAGTGAAATCAGGTTTAAAACCTTGCCAATTTCCACCCAACCCCATTTCTCCCATATTCTCAGCATAACAAACGGCGCAATTGAACCAATTTGGAGATAGTATCTGGTCCTCACTACCCTTAAATACGTATATAACACCCCCCCCCCCCCCCCCCCCCCCCCCCCNCCCCCCCCTCGTCTTTGTACATACCAGTCGATTTTCCACAGCTCTGGGATCTGGCGGCAAATGACTCACTTTAATAGCAACTATAGGCAAAAGATCCCGAATTCCCATCCTACTGTGATGGAAAGCTTGGCATAAGATATTCCCTAAGTTAGAAGAAGCAGTAGAGGATTAAACCAAAGCAGTGTGACGAAAATAGGTAGGGCGAATACTGAATGTAAGAAATAAACAATGCCTAATCAGATCCCCATATATACAAAGCTATCCATAAGCACCGGTACTTTTAATAATAAAATAGCTATCGAGAGAGATACAGATCATCCATCTTCTCTTCTCCCCACTAGACCTAAGCCACCTTAGCCATTGGTCAATGTCACAATAGCTTCGGCCTGGCTATAGTGGAAATGTACCAACATTGAGCAACCGATCGCGGGATTGATTTGAATTTCCCAGACCTTTACAAACCTAGAAAGGGAGATCGCGGAAAAAATAGTCAAATTCCGTTGCATATTTATTTCCCAACCACTTAATGCATTGGAAAAGGAGCAATAGCTAACCAATAATTTCTTTGAAATTATCTATTTTTGAATAATGTAAATTTAACTTGCACTCAATTACTGCATTCCTTTACTGACATTTAGCAACTAACGTTTGTATATCAAAAGTGGACTTAGGACAAAAAGATCTCTACAATACCCTTATTAAAAGAGAGACGAGAGTTGGGCTTAGGAAATACCAATAAGAAAAGATTTCCATTAGAGCTAAGATGGGCAACAACTCAAATACCTTCGAACTCAATTAAAATAAGCGAATGTGAGTAGTCTTATTCAGCAAAATTTGATTCTCCCTCATTCCATGTAATTTCGTCGTACCTTTAAGTACATTCAAAGCGCTTAAATTTGATTGAGAGAATGAACTAAACGTATTTAAACAAACCAAATATCGTAAATCAATTTAAAAAATCTTTTATAAAATACAACCTTTTTCAAGCGTTTAATTACTCAAATTATCAATTTTTAATTTTCAATTCCTTAAAGAAGAATAGTTGAAAATGATCGATACTGAAAATGTTTCCGCGCGAAAACAGAAAAAAACGAACCATGATGAATTATATCTCATGGTTGAAATTATTAAATCTTGTAAAGCAATGTAAATTAAAATGACAACATTTCGAATGCTAATGATTTCCAAAAGACAAGATAAAAGGTTCCAAAAGAACGTTTTGAAGCAGAAGAAATTGTACTGTTAGATATACTAATGGACAGGTTCTACAACGTAAAATAATGCGGATTGGGCCTTAGGCTACGGGCATAGTTTAAGTGAAGAGTCACGTTTCAGAAACAAAAACTCCTAGTTAAACCACAAATCCCCCCCCCCTGCTTCCAGTTAAAGTAATATCGACAGTTTCCTAAACAACTCTTACTTTCGGATTGTTGAATGACAAAAAACTGGCAAAATCATCGACAAACTATGAAACTCGAAAGTATTTCATCCTCCGAGTATTGGTAATGACCGTTATATGAGGTGATGAGCGATTCGAGAATCTGAAAACGAGAATGCGTAAGCGTAAAGTTCGTGTGGTCCTTTAGCGCTTTCCAATGTTTAATGCTTAATAAGCTAGTGCATTCTCTCTAATATAACTTCTGAAAACAACTTACGCAATTAACATGAACTCATTCATCCGAATAAAAGTGCTTCAGAAATAATATGATTAGCGGTCCCTTGTGAATATCGCGTATAAACTAATAATTGCCAAATGCAGTCAGCATAGATAAGATCTCGAAAGCATGAAGCAATTTGGCAGGAGGCATCGGCTTCGACTAGCCATGACCAAATTAAATAATTAGACCACAAGCTGAAGCAAGCCAATGGGAAAGAAACATTTTAATGACTCATTCCTCTACGAGGAGAAAAGAAAAAAATTCTCTCGTCATTTTTTCGTCACATTAGCCTTCTCCCTTGAAAACGATGCAAATGAACCCTATTCTTGATAAGGTTTCAAGAAAGCAGGTGTCTTTGAGATAGAGGGAGAGAGATAGAGATCTTTTACGTTGACATGATTGGTCATCAACCCCACAACCCGAAAAAGCGCCAAAACTACCTACCTGACGTAAATTGATACGAATGACAACTTTGACATGATATGCTTGACTGACTAGACATTTTAACCTAGATGATGCAACACGTGGTAAGGAAACCACGAGCCGGGTAAGCCCATTAAGTTGTTAAGAGTTTCTGAAAGTAAATGACAATAGCATGAAAGTGGCGAGAAAGTTAGAGAATGGATGGGGAGGGGGAAGGGAAAACGACATTTATATAAATAGGAGTCTAGACGTGAAAATGCGACTAATAGGAAAAACCTCACCCAGATGACATAATGCTAGATTTATAACAGTCAATGGAAATGTGTAAACATAAAAAAATAAACTAAACAAGCCAAAAATAGACTGCGAAAGCGCTTGTTAACTTACTTTCTTGAAATGCCGTGACTGTTATTTTAAATCCTGGTGCCGCAGCAGCGTTAGACGGCAATTGGGATTGAGGGGAATTGGAAGAACTAAAATTAGAGAAAGATCTAATATTTATGCAAAAAAATTTTTTTTTAAATTCAGGAGGAAGACAGACATTTTTTGACTAAGAACTGCCTATTCAATAAATCGATGTGAACTTGAGAAAAATGGAGAAGGTGGAGAAAAAAATGAGAGGTGGGGAAAGTCCCGCTTGATTGCCCATTGTCAAAAAGTGGGTTTGATTACTGACATGACAAGCCACCCATGAGTATTTCTCTTTCATTATTACAAGACGATGCAATAAGACTCCTTATAAGGTGAATTTCAAATCTTCTGGAGCTTAGTAAACAACAAACCAATCAAGCTGACAAACATATGGTCCTATGCGAATAGTGGAATACTCTAGCTTGTCTTTATTCCCTCTCCAGAGCCTAAGCAACTACAGAATTAATAAGAAGAGTCGATAGTACAACTAGTTCTTTCACACCCAAGCCTGAAAATTAAGTCTTGATGTGGTTGCATTGATAATAACCAATCTGCTTTAATAACAATAAATACAACATTTGAGTAATAGTACGGGAGCACAGCAATACCCGTATGATTGAAAGATTTTCATGAGGATAGACATCCATTGAGCATAATTAAAAAAGGCCATCAATAATCCACATAATTATTTTTTCCTCATTTATCATATTCCAGGTTAAAAATCTAAGTAGGCAGCCTACTCAACAAATCGATATGAACTTGAGACAAAATAGTTTGAGAAAAATGGAGAAGGTGAGAAAAACATGAAAGATGGGGACGGTCTCGTTTAATTGCCAATTGTCAAAAAAGTGGGTCTGATTACTGACGTGACAAGCTACCCATAAGTATTTCTCTTTCATTATTACATGACGACCCAAGTGAATTTCAAATCTTCAGGTGGGGGGGGGGCATGTTTAACAACACAGCATCAAACTGACACACAAAGCAATCAAAGGGTGGTCAGAATAAATTTGACAATCTCATCAGGAAAAAAGGCCTCAAAGCTACAAAAATTAAGTGATTTAAAATTATACCGTTGTCAGTGTGCCTTATATCTTGCTTGACAATGGTCTCAAAAAAAACTACTTTCATTCTCTGCTAAGTGGCTAGTTGGTTGGATGTAGCGATGGCTCATCGATTTATGCCCCCCCCCCCTCCCCCAACATTCAATACCTACGTAATTGTCCCTTTGGTACTGATCTGGAGGGAGGGCGGGGGGGGGGGGGGGGGGGGGGGGGGAGGAGAAGGGAGAGCTAGGAGGCTAGACACACCCTAGAACTGGTGTAGTCTTAAAAATTGACTCAGCCATTTTTCACGCTCCCCTGAGACGTGAAAAAGAGCACAACCCCCACCCCATCCCCGCCACCACCATCGTGCCTATTATTATTGGTATATCATTGGTTATCTTCATGCTTTAATAAGGCCTTAACTAAGACAGTGGTCAACAATTCCACATAGGAATTTGAATTCAACCTAAGCCTAAGCCACCCTCGATATCGGATGGCACACATCCGAAAACCATGACAGCTTGTGCACAATTTTTTTCTCATTAGAAAAAAATAGAAACATTATCTGCACTTCCACAAGATGCTTTATATTAAATCAGAAAGTTCTTAGACCTTGTCAGACCATTTTCTAGGGCCTTTTCTGTGAAGATTTCCAGTTAGTGCAAACTCAATGGAATTGGTTGGGTGGGGCGGGACGGGGCGGGGAGGGGCCTGAAACATTCAATTTAATGTGGTAACAAAGTCCGAATTCCAGGGTACTCCAAAGCTTGAGGAAACCCGCTGTGCAAGCTCAATCAGCAGAACAGCCTCGTAATCTCCACTCCAATTCCCCACTTCATACTTAGTAGTTTTCATTGCCAAGGGAGCAATGTGAAGGGAATATTTATTTATATCCAGTGGCAGGCTTTATGATAGTTATTAGCCCTTTACTGGACTTCAGGCTTTACAGAGGGGTGGAACAGACAAAGTCATAAAATTTCGAGGGAGAGGGAACAGAATAGTGATTCCCAGATGTAACAGAGCCAGACAGAGACAAAAAGATAAGGTGAGCACTGTGAAAGTGGTCGAATATGGAATACAGTCAGGTCATGGTAAGTAGAAGTCAACTGCCGGTTTGTAGACTTTTTTACCGTATGGGTATATATTGCCCAGGGTGCACCATGTGGAGATAAGTCTATCACGCTCCACCTCCCGATTTTCATTATGGGACAAGCTTATTTTCTCAACTGATAGATGTAGGTTCCAGTTAGTAAGCACTCTCATCAACGGATGTTTGAATTAAAAAATGGCTCAATCTTTCAAGGCAAGTGTATAGTGGGCGTGAACCGGCCGATTACAAAATAGTTAAAAATTCGCTCCTCCCACCTTGTATGTTATTTGCCGTTTTGACAAGATCGGCAAAAAATGGTCGATTGTACTTCAGTTACTGTAGTAAAAAAACTATTTTGCGTTAAGCGAAGTGCCAGAAGGAGTGTTTGTTTTACTACTTTAAAGCTGTGCTTTTGCGGTACAATGTATTCGGCTACTGTGTACTTTGTTTATTTGTATTTTTTCAACTTCGCCTTAAAGGTCACGACGACATGAAGATGGCGAAGAAAAGGGAGTACAAACTTACCGAAAGGCGATGCAGATGTAGGACTTTGACGACAGGACTGGCATTTTGGGGTATCGAGAAAGACAAAGACCCTGTTCCCCACCTGCTTCCGGCTAAATTTTCAAAAAAAAAAACAAATTTTATAAAGTATATATATATATATATATATATATATGCGCCTTCAGAATAAATTCACTCTAAGTGAACTCAAACAAACTTTGTTAGTTTATCAATCAACTCATGGCTGTAAGGCGCCACAAATAAAGTCAATCAATGACCAATCATGAATTAAAATCAACCGTTCAACAATCGCAGCGGGTGTAACAAACTCATCTGTGAATATGAGTTAGTTTAAAAGCACAGGACATTGGCAATATAAAGTAGACTTGGTGGCGTCTAGACAGCTTAAGGATGAGACTAAGAGCCAACGTCAACACTGAACCAACTTTTTTTCACTCACCATAAAAATAGGGGAATTATCGAATCAACCTAATTAAATTAATTTTAAGCCTGATTTCCAAAATAAACCAATACTACCTTTTTTGGAAAACGCTGCGCAAGTTATGATTTATGAATTATATAAATAAGTAAATAATGCAGGATTAACTAGCGTTTGAATATCTGTGTAATTAACTAACATTCTCAAGTACGAGAATAACTGCAAGAAGGCTAGTTGGAAAGAAAGTGCAAGTAGAAAGAGAAAAACATGCAGCACTATTTTAGCGCAAAAAAAACTTATCTCTAAATCGCTTAGACTTTTATCAGCTAAGAAAAAACTAAATTAGAAACACTGTAATGTTCACCTGCAAAGTGTACCTGAAATCGGAGTTTCCAAATCGCTCATTCCAGAAAATATTACACCTGAAGCCGCTAGCATCGCATGAACAAAGCTTGCATTTGATAGAACTTTTATTTATGCAGTTTCTTACCAATTTCAAATTTACAAATGCCAAATTGTAACGTCCAATTTAATTTAATTTAAGAGGCAAGTATACTGCAGATGTCAAAGAAAGAGGTCGAAAAGCAACGTCACAATTAATCAAAATAATTTAATAATAAATAACAACTATTTGTTTATCTATCTATTTAGCCCTTAACTGATAAAAGGATAACCTTTCAAAAAATCACACAATATGAGGCTCAAAATTTGTTTCATGCCAACGCATTCGCATATCATTCTTTTCAAATTGGTCAGAAATCCATCACTCCCCTCTCCCCCCCCCCCCCCCCCCCCCCCCCCCCCGCCTCCAATCTCACGGAAAACAGGCTCAAAATGTCAACATTAGCTCAGCTCGCAAAAAAATCAATTTGAAGGTACGTAATCTAAATTGAATGTTTAAACAATCCAAAACTTGGCAAACTAATTAAAGAAGAAAGGTTAAATGAGAATGAAGAACGGTGTCTAGGCCAATCTTACGAGACATTAGCATCACTTGGGTCACTAGATTCATACTTGCAAGCATATATTAACATGCCCCCTGAATTAATTTATAAACAAGTCGACGATCGGTGCCAAAATCTTGAATACATACATCACCTCTATCAAAGATTTGCATGAACATAATAGTAACAAAGAAGGCAAAATATAATAATTTACAAACATACCATTGCCTTAGATCGGGCTGTATTTGAGTCGAAAACATAAAGGAAATCGTCTTTACAGGTTTGGTCACTGGAGGGAATAAAAAAGGATTCGATTGAGAGCATAATCCGCCCATTTTCTATCGGTGCATGAATAACAACTTCACATGCAAAAGATAATGGATATTGAGCATAGTAATTATGCCCAAGAACGGTCGCCGAGGACACATTCGATCCGGAATCGGACTCAAAATCATGAGAATAGATGACCACACCGTCTTCAAGATCATCAATCCGCAGAGTTTTTGTTTGGAGTTCTTCTAGTCCTACTAGAGCAGTTGGCATAGAATTGCAGTCCTTTGATAAAATGTCTACAACAACAAGCAAGTTTTTAGCTACAGCAACAAAGAAATTTAAATTAAAGCTAATATTAACTTATACAGTAAATTAAACTTAAAATTAGAATAGGTATCAAAATAAAAAATCATAGAAATAAATAATACATAAATAGAACGAAAAATTGAAACAATTATAAATCAAAAATTAGTTTTATTTTGAGCAAGGAAAAATAGCTTACATTTCCTAGGACCGAATGAGTTAATGGCACTCCAAGCGCAGATCGGCAGTGCGAGGAATAAAATATATACAGGAAAATATAAATGCATTCCTTCATATTCCCATTCACAGCGTTCAAGTTATATTCCAAGTTAATTTTGAATGTGCGCTACTTATACTGAAATGGCCTAGCCAACTGAGCCAATCTTAACACTCGTTCGCCATTAACAAACAGACTAATTTGCGCATGTTAAGCCACAGTTGGCACATTCATAAAAAATTAAGGTTTAAAATACAGTGATTTATTTATTCAAAATTTTCATGACAATGATTTACTAAAAGTCATATGGCTTGACAATTTCTGAATCGACGATGCTAGTTAACTTATATAACTAGGTTATGTAATTAAGGTTTTCATGTTTCTCTAGTTAAATTTTAGATGAAATATATTTTGCTGTGATTTTTTTCATAGATTTTTTGTAATCGCCGTATCAATTTCATGCAACAATTTCATTCATGTTATGTGAATTTATACTAAGCTAACTTAAGTACCACCACCCACCCCACCCTAAAGCAGAACGAATTTAGTTAATTTTCATTAATATAGACAGATAGAGCTGTGTAGTAAATTTATTCATTTAAAATGATCTAGTTACTTTTTATAGGAATGTTATTTATTTGAATCTCTCAGAAATTTACTGAGCCAAATATGTCATTATCCTACTTTACCTTTAAAACCGCTTTAAGCGTACTACTTAGACATTACACTTTTTCTTGTTATACCAACGTGTCAAATACAAAGCGGCCCGGTTTAAATTACTGTTTTAAAGGTGAATACAATATATTTACCATGGTCTATTGGTAATATGCAGAGGCAACTTGATTAATTTATGACTAATTCCAAAATTATTAAGTTCACAATTAAACAAGGCCTCAAGATCTTAAGTAGCCAATTATAATAAGGTCTATCCTTTAATAAGTACAAACAATGTATAAACTTCTATACATAAAATAACTAGTTAATTGTTATACAATGCATAAAAAGAGGCCATGCTAACGATACGAGCAAGTTGTTAACAATATGAATTATCTTAAATTTTTTATCAAAGCCCTTAACAATTTGTCCCTTTCAAAGCAACAATTAGTGCAGTCATTTTGCAATAAACCGTTTATTTGGGAACTTAAAATACTGCTAATGATCGTTCTTCATTAGGTTGTCCACACCAGGAAGGAATCGGATAACGATATCCTTTCTGCTCGTTCCTTAGATCTTGCAGGGCAACTTGAATCTGTCCATCCACCATATAGGGCTTCAGATCTGTTGAGTCCTCTCTTAATCTTTTAATAAGGAGCAAATTCGCCCATATCTAGAAGAAATGTCTTTTACAAATACTATTTACCTCTGCAGCTTTTCCAGTGATTTTATTACCCCAGAGGTAGATGTAACGAATGCTATCGTTTGTATATAAAGATTCACCCAATGCACATAGACCTCTTTCGTTTATTCTATTGAAACTTAAATTAAGGCTGAAAAAAAATAAAAATAATAATTAGGGAATCAAATTGGTTTGATTTACACTATGAGACGTTGGTTGGCCTGTTCCAGCGCCTTTGCAATTGCTACGGCTCCTTCACATTTAATTTGATTGTAGGAGAGGTCGAGAATTGTTAAGGAACAATGATTACTGAGCGCCTTGGCTATGGCTATTCCTCCATCAACAGATATTCCATTTCTAAAAAATTCCAAAATCTACCTTATAGTTAATCCAAATCCTTTATTTTATTTCTTCAAGCATACGCAGAATTCATCGAAATTTTGAGGCTTGTGGGACACGTCATAGCTTAATAAGTCATCGCATACCTGCACGCCAGGATTGGGAGGTGCGACCGTACAAACAGTGACCAATCATTAACCTCTGTTTGTTTAACCTAATCCGCCATCCTGATCAAGATTAAGCTCCCCGCGTGAACACAATTCACGTTCTGTATCTAGTGCATAAATGTATCGGTGATACGTCTCTTCTTCTATAGACTCGGTAATTGAGAGAATCTATCACAAAGGTTTCTGAGACTTAAGTCAGGCTTTACTAGCGTAGCAATCCGCTACAGGGTACTTAATTTTTCAAACTCCATCCAGCCGTTTTAATACTGACAAATCAGCCAATTAAACTCTCCCAGGCCTGTATTTCAAGATAAAATAATGCACACTTTACTCAAATTAGTATCAGAGCAATCGTTAATATGATAAGTGGGATAGGAGAGATAACTTCAAACAGAAAGAATGTCTATTTGGCTTCATTTGCATTGGGATGCATACAGGAAAAGTGATACAAGGAGAGTGACTGCAATTCTAAGTGTGTCTTACGAGCTTCCAAAATGTTAAACTACTATAGGAGTTAAAATAAGCTGTGGACATAAAGAATAGAACGTGTGCGCGTATAGTACTTCTGATGAAATGAAG